AAGTCAAAGGCAAAGCAGCAGCAGAAGCCAATGCACCAGCATTACACACCACCGGCATCTGCAAAAGAAAAAACAAAACGCACCACCACGGCAAAGGCCAAGGCAACCCCCAAGGCTAAGTCTAGCACTAAGCCCAGCAAGCCAGATGTTGAAGATGAGAAGAAGGGATCGAGGAAGAGGAAAAACAAGCAATGTGCAGAGAAAAACAAGCATGCAGAGAAGCCAAAGCGAACTAGGGCACCCAGAAAGATCGACCCGTCGTGTGTGAACCAGGAGATGAAGAACCAAGTGATCCAAACCTTGAAGGAGTGCAAGAGCACCAATTGCACTCATCCGTCGGTGCAAATGATCAGGAAACCCCATGTTGACATTGAGCCTTACAGGACCCGAAATGCTTGTGGCATCAAGGTTGCCCGTTCATTCTTCTCCAGTGACAAGGCCAAAGGTTCTGGGAAGGCTCATGTCACCTATTTCTCCGGACAGACCCCTTGTTTCTATAGCAACTTCAAGCTGGCCGAGCTGTGGGTTTCTAGATTGCAAGCTTGCTCATGGATGATCGATGTATATCAAATTATCTTGGTGTGGTTCTATATATTGATATCCCGATGCTGTTTCTTGAGTTTATGTCAGTTCAAATCAAATACAAATGAGTATATCGAGCGATCTGAACAAATTATATATAGATTATACATGCATGATACTGACTGACATTGACGACGGATTCAAATTATATATTGCATGGTTTCTGCAAATAGGAGGCATCCCATATATATACTGTATATAGGATTGTTTCCCCACTATCGTCTTCCATTCGACCCATCTGGGAATAAGAATGACTGACCAGGTAAAGTTCCACACCAGGATAGTGTGTATACTTAATTTGATCATCACCTAAAGATCGATATATATTTTTAAGGATGTTATATATAATATAATTGGTACATGGTCAGCTTCCCATATATAGTACCTTTGCCCACTTCTGAGGTGAAGCAGTGGGAGCAATTGGGCAAGCCTGATCCGCTCTCGGAGGAGATGACCAAGTTCGTTGCTGAACTCAAAGCCTCACATGCAGCTGCCGTTGCTGAGCACCAGGGTGAACCCGCTACCAATAGTTGATTTGGCATCAGCTCATGATATCCACTCATGCCAGTCCAGGATGCATGCAATACCGGGTTGGATTTATACATTTAGCACATTAATATATAAGCTCGAAAGTTGTTTTGATGCTGTGATTTCTTCAAAGGTAACTTGATCGTTTCAATGATCAAATCATCACATGCTTGGGCTTGAGTGGTGCTGGGGTTATGTGTGTGCCTATATATGTTGACAACGACATTCCTCCTAATCCTCATGGGCAAAACAAAGGAAACCACATTGCCGTAAGTAGTACAGCGGGGTGCAAACTATTCATGCATGTATAGTGTGAAAATTGTAATGATCTGAATGTCCATTTCCTTGAGCTGAGTGTGTTATAGCATGATTTATCCCAATGCCCTGGGGCAGAGGAATGCCATCGTTGTATACATATAATCGTAGATGTGCTTTTTCCACTTGCCCTTTGGCACTTTCGGCCATTCAAAGTGGAGCTTCAAACGTTAGAGATTTGCAATTCAGCGGAAGTCAACCCGCAAAATATGGGGCAATCAGGCCAACAAGGGTCAAAAAAAACGCAGAGTGGCTGAACGCTATTGTTGGCTTATTATTTGCATCTACTGTCTTATAACATGGATTGATGGTGATGCTTATCACATATACAAAAAAGGAATCAACACATGATTATATATAGAAACCATCAAAATGGTGCTATATTGTTTAAAAGTGTTTCTCTTATACATTTTCTGTGGTCAAAAGACATGATATGGAGAACAATCAGCATGTTGAACTTCGTTTAGCCGCAGAATTGAAAACAAGTACATGTACAGCCTTATCCCATGTTGATATATCCATATCTTCAAAATTGTGTGCAGGTATATTAAGTGATATATGTATATATATATGCGATATATCCTTGATGAATGCTATATGTATATAATTAAACCATCAAGATCCAAACCTTCAGTCTGGGCTCTCCAGCATGCCAGGTGTCCCCTCGCTAATGCCTGTGCGGAGAGTGAGGAAGAAGCTCACCAAAGGCAGCCGGAATAGTGTCAAAGCTGGGACACATGCAAGGTTTGGGAAAGGCAGTACTGGCTTGTTTGCTGATCTTTGGGTTTCGATGCCACATGGTTTTCAAAAAACGGATCATCAACATATATAGTTTTCATGATTTTATCACGCCACTAAAATCTTTGAAAGCCAAGTGGCCCTTCTATACATCGATGGATCATCTTTATAATTCAATTGATCGATATACTGAGATCCAACCTACCGAGGTGGTCTTGTTTGCACATGCAAGCAACAGTTGGAACAAGCCTTTTACATGCCCGTTGGTGCCCTCCATATTTCAGCTGGGGAATGCACATGCACACAAGACACAAGGTTAATTGTTGTGCAAAATTCTGCATGCATAATCTATTACATCAAAGACAACACCAAACTGCATGTATATAGTATCCCTCTGATGGATCCTCATGTTGATCATGTATATATCTGTTTGATCATACAATGTTGTGATTATATATAAATGCAATTTCTTCCATATATTGGTTTCTTGCCTGCGTGTGCTAATTAGACTCCCATTGGCTTTTTCAAGCCATTCCTTGATTGGACTGGTGCGCCATGGTAACTGGGAGAGATGCAATCGACTTGGTGGTACGAAGGCTGGCGGCCATGAAAATTCCAAAGGTAACTGGGCCTTAATTGTGAAAAATATAATGCAAGGGTGTCCAAAAAAAGATTCGGAATATATACAAACTATATAGATGAATGGAATCATGATTACATAGATGCAAGGTTATATAGATCATTATATCCTTGAACCATTTTATGCAATCATGTGCATGTTAATAGCTGCATGATTTTCATGAACACCACATGAGTGGAAAAATTGAACCTATAATATATCAAGCCTATACAGTGGCCTGTTCACCAAAGTTGATTTGGCCACTCAGGCATTCATCATGATCGTGCTGATGGTTGCCTACGCCAGTAACCTTCCCAAGTTTGATGAGGAGCCAAATGTTGCCATTACCTCCCGCCACATCAAGCCCACCATGCATCACAAAATCATGGGGCCCCCACCGCAGCTTTGCTTGCACCGCTCGATCTCCAGGAACTTGCCTTCATTGAATTCTTTGCAGGCAACGGAAACGTGTGGAAAGCAGTGAGGGCCGACAGCTATGCCACGGTGGGCATAGACATCACATATGTCGAAAATGTTGAAGGAGGAGACAACCCATTCGACATTTTATCCAATTCTGGATTTGGGTGCCATCCCCAGTTGGTTTGCAATGTATATACTGTATTACTGCAGCAACAAAGGTGTGCATTCATGTCATGAAGACTCGGGTCATTAATCTTATAAATATACATGATTGGGAATAAACTCATGTTTCTAATTTTGATGGATCAGTCAAACGCTGGATGTTTTTCATTATTTTATATAATTGTTTCATGAGCTCCACTGGATGGAGCTAAACCATCTAAGGTTGTACGTGCACATGATCCTCTTTGCAAGGATGCATCGGTTTGCAACAATTTGGGCCACGGTGTGTTCCAGTTGGGTTCGCATGAACTGTTTTACCTCTGGGAGATCCTTGTTGCTCCCAGAGGGGAACCAAGACCGTACCTACATCTGCCAAGCAAACCAGATGATGTCGAGGAAGCTAGTCTTTGCTCATTTGAATGAAGGGTTTTTTTGTTTGATACTGTTTTTATATATGATCATCCGTCCATGTATATCTATATACCTCAGGATTGTGCTATACAAGCTATATAAGACAAGAACATTAAGGCATCCTCATTCATGAACCCAAATTTAACCCAACTAGATGGAAATTAAGGGATAAACATGGACTATAAACATGATCATAAAAATGATCGATGGACCATAAACCCTTTCCCAAGACTGCCTGCTGAGGTGCATCCTGCTGATCGCATTGACGACTGCCTGCGGTGGCACTTGGCTGCTTGAGCAGCCCCGCTCCAGTGTGATGGGGGAATTCTTCCGGTTCCAATGGTACTGCAACCTAGTCAAAGTACCATGGCTTAATCTGATTTGGTTGCCATGATTGGTATAGCTGCACTTCCCTATACGGACATGTTATATACATTAAACACAACTATATTTGAATTACCAAATTCCAACTTAATGTGTTCGATCTCCATGCCATCAATGAATTGCATTTAACGCTGTACAGCAATAGCATGCATGAGATTATATACATTATATATTTGCCTATATAAACACTTGCATGCATGATTAAAGTGATTGTTACCAGGGTCTCACCCAACAACTCAATCAGTTTCAGCTCATGTACCCGCTCCCAGCCTCTCCAAGGTCTACCTGGTGAAGTGGTACATGGGCCACTACGGAGCTTCCTCGGCCAAACCGACGAAGGGATGGTGCAATCATAGGAAGCTGGGAGAGCTTGATCTTGGAAAATTCAACCACAAAATGATCAATCCCAAAAGCAAGCCTACTACGGTGAAAAAAACGATCGACAAGAATGGAAAGAAGACTTGGACGGGAACGAAGGCATTGAAAGACACCCAGCCCTGACCTCATTTGTTGAATTTACACCTGTATGGTCAACCAATCTAAGTACTGAACATGTTTTTGATTGAATGATCCTTTTCGAGTGTTTCAACCTATATAATTTCATCCAATTGGATTATGTTTGCTCAGGATTTACCCTCCGGCATTTGGTGATGCAATCTGCCGTCTTCTACCAGATCTTTCTGCGGGAGAAGGGTGCCCAGAAGTGGACGAATCTGAGCCTGCTGAGGAAGTGTTTGAACGCATGGCTTTCAGCACATGGGAGGAAGCCCATCTCATTCCTTGCCTGAAATATTTGAGGGGGAACCGGCACCTCAACTTACCAGTTGAATGGGTTCAGGCATTTCCCCGTCCCCTGGAGATCCTCCACAAGTTGGAACAGAGTGCAAACTAGGGGAGCTTTGAAGATTGCAGGTGTGGCTAGAATGAGTTGTGCAGTTGTACAGGGGTTTTGCACCAAATTGACCATATATCATCAAAATTGATTTAGATTTCCATGTCCCCACATAACAATTTATGCACTCAGCATCTTCACCGTATGGTTCTGACCTTTTCCCAGCAATCCCCAGATATAGGTCCATGGTTGGGTCAATATCCCAGTTGAAAAATGATAAAAAACCAAGAAACCCAATCCAAAATCATTTTTGCTGCATTTTCAAGTGTTTTTTGAGATCCGTACAGGGACATGAATAACCGTACTGGGGACATGAAAACCCGTAAACCGTTCGGAAACCGTTCGGATTACGTTCAAATTACGTTCAAATTACGTTCAATTGCGTTCAACTTGCGCAAAAATTACGTAATTTTTACGTAAAAAATCAGGTTTGTTTTTGATGATTTTTGGGGGTTTCGATTTTTTACCAAAATCCATGATTTCAAACCAAAAAAAAGGGAAATCTGAAGATACCCGAACCACTTTTCATTAGCATCGGTTGGTCAACACCTGCAATCACATGTTTCTGGAGGTTGCACAGGCTCACTGTGGCTTGACCTATACGATGGGCGCTTGATATCTAAAGATTTTGAGTGGGAAACATGATGCTGCTTGAATCCTGAATGTGCAAGCATGTAGCGCAGTCAAATGCACTTGCATATTAGATCATTCAATATCGATCCTTACCATTATGTTGAATAAAAATCATGTGCAGCTGCACTTGGCAACAGTATAGCTTGAATAATGCATCTCGAATCATTTGTTTGATACAGCCGTTTGGCAAGTTGATCAGCTTTAGAGGTGTAGGTTGCAATCATGTCGCGTGATTCCATGGTGTCATCACTTCCATCTAATGGGTGGAGCTGCGCTACTTTGGAAGAGGGCATCCAGATTGCTGCACAGCAAGCCGGCTTAACCTTGAAAACCCAAGACTACACCAAGGCCAGGATGCATGTGCATCATATTGATATATCATCAACAGGCCCCCGTGTATATATAGTAATTGAGATTGTCATTATAGATATACTCATCATCTCTTTATTGCCCCAGTAATTTATAATTGGCTCATTCATGGTCAGGTGTCCGAAGCGCTTATGCACACACTCCAAGCCTATGCAGGTCAATCTGTTCCTTGTCACAACTATCATTATAATTGTATAGAATTCCATGCCCGTCTGAACCATGACTGGCCCAGGCACATGCATGCGACATATAACAATTTAATGCCAAAAAAAAAATCATAATGACCTCACTATATATTATGGACGCAAAAATCAACCATATAGAATTAAGTGGAAAGGTTTGTAAGTAATTGAATGGAACCATGATTGCCTATATAGTCACCAGCTTCCATCCACCTGAGGCTCCTGGCAACGCTGCTCCTCTTCAGCGAGTTAAGGTTGAGCCTGTGGCACCGGAAAGGCCGTTGGCGACGCCATCCCCTCCCAAGGAATCTCAGTTCAATGGGGTATATACTTTTGCATCAGCATGAGACAATGATCATGTTACAGTTCTTTATATATATATATTGTACGATTGGATCATGTGAGTCTTAATGCATGAACTGAAAGGTATCTGGCATGGCACCACCTGTTGCTGACCCTGAAGGGGATACCATCCCCGGTGTTCCCTGGCCGCACAGCTTGCAAAAAAAACCAAAACAGGATGATTAATATTGTCTTTTTTTGTGGTCGGTATACCTTAAATGGATGACAATCTTTGGGCCCCAACTAAGGATGTGCTGTCCCCGGTTCTATCCAACAAAGGATCTCGGCCAGAGACCCCTGCATCCTTTCAGAAGGTTGCGACTCTAGTTCATGGACTGCCTCCTGCTACATATGATCTCGAGGCACTTGGGGATCAATTTATATATAATTATATAGTTTGGTGGTACCTCTATAGATACAGGTGCACTCTGGCTTCATCAATATAGTGCATGTGCCATGTAGCCCCAGGTGTACAAATGCATGGGTGCGTTCGATACATTGATGATCATATAACCCTTTAGCACCTTACCCCTTCGGCATGCATGCAGGCTACCAAGCAAAACCAGGAGCTGATGGCTGAGAAATTGAAGAACGAGCAGTTGCAAGCGCAGATCCAAAGGCTGGAGCTTGCTTCGCAGACTGCCCAGAAAGAGTATGAGCTAGCAAAATGTCAAAAGGAAGCAGAGACGTCAAAGTTGGAAACACTGTTGACCAAGACTTTGTCAAGAGTTGATGATTTGGAGAAGATGATGAAAGACAGTCCAGCTGAACCCCCAAAGCCTGCTGAGAAACCAAACGCACGACCTACGGAGACAAAACAATCACAAAAGGCTAGGGTGGCTGAGCCTCAGTCTGATTCAGAGAAAAGTGCTTCTGATGGCGAATCTGATTCTGAAGAAGAGAAAAGTATGGTCACTCCGGACGGACGGGTTGCCATTTGACTTAATTGGGTTTTTGAAAACATCGGTGAGTGTGAGTGTGCATCTTTACCACGCATGCATGCATATATGCAACCATGTTCGGAATCTAAATATGTAACACCCATGCATGATTCATGCAGTTTTATATTTTTTGACAATCTTCATATATAAGACCTGTTGCATTGATCCATTGAGGTTCCAATTTCTCCTGACGCCCTTCGCATGCGATGCAGACGCTTGTGTGAACGCAAGCCTAGCGGACGCCTGCAAGTTGAGGCATCCATGTCGGATGCTTACAAAGCAGGAGGTGAGCAGAGGGAGGCGCTGGAAATGACGCTGCTTGAGTCATTGGCCACCCATGGGCATGGCCGGTCATCCTACAAGAAGATCAAGGCTAGGACCATCCACACCTCAATGTGTTCACCTTCGTTGATTGGTGTATATATAGTTTGGATGTATACGGTTTACATGTGCATGCATGCATGTTATTCATGCATGTTAACAAATGCCTGCACTCATCAAGATAATTGGGTCCATATATGGTTTTCCATTTTGTTATTATCAAATCCTGGAAGCTTCCATTGTCCACCCAAGTCTTCACCCCCTCTTCGCCTCTACTGCTCCACCAGGCTGACTTTGTCAAGCGATTTCGCTTGGTCAAAGAACGCCTTGAGTCCCGAGAAAGCGAGGTGCACGGGAAGTGGATGACGGAGGAGGCAATGAAAAAAAGCGGCAAGTATTCACAGACGGCCATCAAGAATATTACTTCCTACTGCAGGAAGTTTCCTGAAAGCTTGATGAGGCCAGTTGAATATTTTTGGCTTGACACCTATATAGTTCAGCATGATACCCAAAAGCATCCAAGAACATCAACTGCAAACCATTGGAGGTAGATTGGACACATCTTATATCCATGCATGGTCTTTGAAAAAAGAAACCAATATTCATATATTCAATACTCGATCAAGGTATTATATAATAAGCCATGCATGGTTCACATGCAGATAGAATGAATTGACCTATAGATGATATATCTCGTACCTGATCATATACCTGGATTTGATTAAATATCCTTTGCGCTCAGGGCTTGGAAGTACAATGACAAAGTATCAGAGTTCTATGTCATCACCGATGACACCACCTTGCACAAGAAGGCTGATACGACCCGGGACTTGGAAGAGACTGACCTTGGGGAGCCTTGGAGGAATAATCGAATATATAAAAACATGCCAGTTCGAAATGTTTTTTTCCAGGCACAACTTATATATAGATGCATGCACATGCATGAGTTCACCCAATGCCCCAAACAATCAGCATGTGTTGCAAGGCTCTTCCCTACATCCATCAACATGTTCTCTTGCAAATATAGGGCTTGAACCCCCTCTGTTTGGACTATCTTGATTGGCTATATAGTGAACCCTATCCAATCCAACCTGATAACTCAGCAACTCCAAGACCCACCACTCTCTTCTGAGGAAAAGGCTGTGAAAGACAAAGATGCTCCTAAGCATTTGGACGCCGACTTGGTGACCATCCCTAAGGAAGACGTGTCAATCCAAGTGGTGGGTTCTCAGGTTGGGTTGCATGTACATGCATGCGTGTGTTTTGTGCATGAACATGGTTGTGTCATCAACATCATGGTGATACATGTTCCTTTTAGTTCCCACCCAATGCATGTGCATGTGTATCCCTGGGCAGCCTGTGGCCGATTTGGAAAGCTACATGACGAGCATGGAGAAGAAACAGGAATCCATCGAAAAAATGATGCAGAAATTGGCACCATCATCTGATCCAGCAGCCAAGAAGTTTTTTGATTGCAAATGGTATGTTGCCTCTGTTTGTGCACATCTTAGATATAGCATGTGCATGTATGCATGCATCCACCTAAATTACAAGCCTTGAGCCTATGTAGGGTTAAATACCAATGCTCAAATGCATGTATATTGCTTATATATTATATTGCAACATGGTTTCCCTATAGCTGTTATATAATATGCTGTTATATATTTCATCTCAGGCTTCATGATGCTCTTCAACCCGTTCTGGATGAGTTGAAGGACAGCTACAATACTTTTTCTACCTACATCACTGAATTGAAGATGGAGCACAAAGATGGCAAAGTTGCTAGCGCTGAACTTTCTGCGTTGCTTGTATGAAACATAAACAGCTTGAGGTTGACCCAATGGGCTTTTGGATTTAAAGGAACACTTGTATCAAACATCCCATCGCAAAACAAGCTGTGGTTTGGGCCTCTAGTCATGTGATATAATAGGAAAGAGATTGATGCATGCATGTCCTTCAACCATTACATTTTGCATCAAACCATGCAAGCCCTGGGTTCTTGATACTTGGGCCTGTGGCCTCCATGAATGGTGGCAATGATCATGATGACGATTCTGAAGAATGGCTTCAAGAGTTGATCACATACAACCGGGAGGCGCCATGCAATTGCATGCACTTCTGGTATATAGATACAAAGAAAACACAGAGTGTGGTAGAATCAACATATGCACGAATCCCCTAAACAGGCACTCTCTTATAGCCTTGGCCAGGCCAGCGTCACTAGATCACCAAATCTAAGACCAGATGATGCAGGTGGGTTTGCGAAATGCAATTCATCTCCATTATATATAATTCATGAGTTGAAAAGCATTACCATCATTATCAGTCCACATGTGCCACCATATCCCCGACAGTCCTTGCAAAGCGACATCGACGGCGCAATCACTGGAAAGATGTCCTGGATCAAGCGACGCTATCCCTTTCAAGGACCCAAAGGTGTTTCGAAGCCATCGAGCAAGATGACAAACTAGATTATGCCCTGCCAACCAGACCCAATATGCAAGCAGGCTTGATCGTGAAACACTGTTGTGAAACTATAGACAACTTGTTAGATGCCCAGAAGCCTTGCGCCTACAAAGTAGGGTACACGCATGATGCCAGCTTTCGATGGCATAATCCAATGTATGGCTATCGATGGGAGAAAATGAAATGGGAAAAATTAATTGTCATATATGCTGCATCCGAAACAATCTCGCCCGCATTCATCGAGGGGGCATTGATACAGCGAATGAAGGGATCCTTGAATGCACACAATGTCGGAGTTGTGAAAAACCTTGCATTATATGCGATGATGATGAACTGCTGCATCAAAGTTGAATAGCATTTTCATCAAAGGACTGTATATATATAATGATTGGCTTTCCTTATATATATCTAAGGACTCTCCGGGTGCCAAAATGTGCGTGATGGAGGGGAATCCATCCTTTCGGGTGATGACGCAGCTGGACCCTTCTTTGTCTATGTGGTTTTCCGATCATTTAAAAAACCTCCGTCGTAGACGGTGCGGCGATGATGATGATGATGATGCACCAGCTGAGGAAAAAAAACATGCATGCTTATATGCTTGCACTGCACCGCATTCACCTACATGGCATGTGCAACAGAACATGCAGCCCATACTTCATGCATGTATATGCCCGTAGTCCCCACATGTTTCCTCATGGCACCCACCAAGAACTGAGGCTGTTGAACAAGGTGGCGGATGAAAAAAATGTGGTGCGGAAATCGTTCCTTGGACCCAACGTGATCCAATTTAACATTAATTTTTGTGAACTGATAATCTTATAGTAAAAATGAATCCCAATATCCAATCATATACAGCATGGTGCTTATCCCCAACCCATCACGAGCTTATATCCCCAACCACACAGCATCATCATGTTCCGAGGTGTGCAGCCTTTCTCCCCTTGGATGCTCGTTTCAGGCAGGGGCATTTGTGGCGACTTAATTGCCCAAGTCACCCACCTCAAGCATTGATAAAACAACCTCCTTTCAACTATATTTTTTGTCCAGTCCAGGACCCATGTTGCAAAACCAATGTTTTTTCCCGATACCATCCAGCCCTTCTTCTGCCACAGGGGGTTGGTCAAAGATCTGAAGCTTGACGACAACAAGAACGTCAAGAGCAAGAACAAGGGCGGCAAGAACAAGGGCAAGGGTGGTGACGCGTCCCGTCGTGGAAAGGGTTCAAAGTCCAAGTCTAAGGGATCTTCGGGTTCAAAGGTTGATAAGCCCAAAGGGCGGAAATCCAAAGGTGCCCCTTCAAAGAAGAAAAAGGTACCAAGGACTCCGGCCACTGATGAGTCAGTCCCTGCAGCTGATCAGCCCAGTCCTGCCAAGAAGAGCAGGAAGAGTAAGGCAAAAGCCTGAGTGCAAGATGGTGACTTGAACCATGCAAGATGTTGAGTAATCTCATGAAACCTATTGATCCATATCTGAAAGATTTATAGGTAAATATAGCTTACTGTACTGGATTTCCCATATCATCTGAATTCAATTTGATGTGTTTTGTTCAGAATGAAAATCCAATGTGATTTGTGGTTCCACCATTTTTGATGCACTCACAATTCTGGGTTTACCATCTCCATGTGCCGAACACATGGACCAGTTCCTTTTGGGGTTATGTGTGATTGATCCATGCGCTGTGGATTACCATAGCTGGGTCAAGCTCAAGACGCAGGCCATGAAGTGCCACAATCCAGCCAGCTTAATTTTAAAGTGATCGATGAAAAGAACTTTTGCGATTGGATCACCATGCAAGCATACAGCTAAGTGCACCTATATGTTAAAACCATATATAGATATAGAAAACCACAGGGGTCATCACCCACCAACCCGGCATGCCAGGTCCCTCGCATAAGGCACGGCAGTTGGCATTCAAGTACGGACGAGGAGTGTCTAGGTTGCAAGCTGTTTCAGCCCATATTTTTTCTGCAAGGTTGCAACCATAGATTGAATATGTCCTTGCTTGCGTTGATCAGTGCTTTGATTATATAAGATCAATGGTTGATGGGTGAACTGTATATGGTAGTGGGGTGGCACCCCCAGCATGTTGAACTTATCAAGCTAACCTGGTGAGCTCTAGTCCCATATAAGCTTTTTCTATGCGTGACTAAAATATGCATGTTTCAACATTTATCATCAAACATCGGGGCATTAGTTTCAAGTAAAGCTGCTTGATATAGAAACTATAAAGTCTTGACCCTGTATCATGCATGATTAATCCCATTCATTCATGCACTGATATCTTCAGGAACGGTGCAGCGACATCCTTGATTATGCGGCTGCAGAAGTTCGAGACCACAGAGATGGCTTCCAGTCGTCGTTGACCAGCTGCCCGGTTCTTTCATCTCTGGCTACTGCTGACCGGGGAAAAGCTGTTACTTTGATCAAAGTGTTATATACCTTTTCCTGGCCATGGTTTTATTTCCAAGTTGTCTTCTATTTTTGGGGGTGGGCTACCAAACCAGGATGGTTTTGCTTATCCTGGCATGCATGTTTTATGTAAGGGTAATGGTTATTATCATGCATGGTTTCTATTTAGTCATTCATGGGTCCATGAACAGTTAAGGAAAGTGCTGTCACTTCAGTCTTCCGGGCCAACAATTTCTACTACCCAGTAGAGGTAACAACGGAAGTTTCTCCTCCTTTGACATCATTTCCATGGATCAAGCCATCAAACTTTCTTGGGGCAATGTCAAAGATGAACGACCTAGACCACTTGCTTGGAGGGCTTTCTTTGAAAGAATCCCGTGGAAGGCTAGTCAATTTTTGGGAGAAATACCGACGGCTGTACCCACAGCATCAGCTGTGGCAACAAGTTGATTCTGGTCAGAAAGAAATTCAATCCTGCATACCAGTCCTACTGCATGGCGACGAAGGAGTCACCTACAAGAAGAATGGACTATTAGTTTTGAGTTTTCAGGGAGTTATTGGACATGGATGTGGCAAGCGAGTTGTACATGACAACTTGAGAGCACAGTCCGATGGAGTTCCATTAAACTTTTTGCGGACTGGATTCCAGACACGCCTGCTCATTTGTGTGTGTCCGAAGGACCTTTCAGTTGTGGTGTTTCCATCCAATTAGTTGCTTCTTTTTTAATATATATTGTCGTTAGGGATCATGCACGGTTTGGTTGCTAAAAAGTCCATGTTTGTCATTTGGAACCAAAAGGTATACTAAAATTCAAAAAAGTCGATCTATATATGATCATCCTGGGAGATATTTTATTTAATTGCATGCTCTTATATACCTTATAATATCGATCATGTATATGCCTATATGTCTGCGCTATGCAGGAAGTGTATGCAGAAGATCCCCGGGTGTGGAATGCAATTTTTGAGATCGTGGTGGCGGACCTTCGGAAATGTGAAACTGAAGGGATTCCATTGGGAGGTGATCAGGGCCGTTTTTTTCCAATTATCTTGAACACCAAAGGTGACTGGAGTTACTTGGATACCTGGTTTTGAATTATAGGAATGTACAAATTCAACTTTTTGGTTCAAGGGTTTTGGCAGTTTTGGCAATATATTTATAGGTATCATGATTGATTCATCATATACTTGTTTAATCTTGTTTAACTGCACATGAGGCCATTCACTTTCAATTTTTTAAGGATTAACTATACAGCCTATACTACCAGCACTGTAAATAACAAGGATAAATGTTACAAATCCCAAACAGTCGCTACCACTGATTCAAGGTATCGGCTGGCAACTTGGAAAGATCCTACAGACGAGCTCCAAAGGGTGCAGGGGATGGTGGCGATTACGGAGTTCAGGGAGGTGGGATTTGCCACCTTTGTACCTGTGGTCAAGGGGTCGATTGGGAAGACCTGTCACTTGGTTGGGTTTTGATTTTTATCAATCATTTTGGCATTCACGGTTTTGAAGTTATAATTAAGGTTATATGGTTAATTGTTCAATTATATTCTTTGGTTGGTGTCATTTATATGTACGATTGGTCATAAAGCCTGGGTTTTGTATTGAAACACTGCGTTTTTTTTGAGACAAGTTAACCATACTCAGGGGTGCAGCAAAGGCTGCCATGGACCAAGCATTTCAAGTTGAACTTCCACTACCATGGACTAGAGAATCCCCTTTGACACGTGAGCTATTGGTGGATGGCAGTGTGAACGGAAAGACGAGGTTTTACCAATTGGATGTTTGGCACAGCATACATCTTGGCATTGGCAAAACATGGATTGGAGGTGGAGTGATGATGTTATCAACTCTGGTTCCGGGATCCAACCATGATGAGAGAATATCTGTTATCGCATCTGAGTACTTGGCATTTTGTCGCGAAGCTCGTTTGGACCCCATTATCCGGAGAATTGATTCCCGTACTTTTGGGACAACAACTGATCCTACAGGAACCTGGAGTAAAGCTGGTGTAACCTCCAACTTTATGCTCTTCCTACAACAGTTCTGCGAGAAACGGGCTGAAGCAATTCAGTGCAATGATCGCTTCCGGGTTTTTGTTCCTTTCCTGTATGTTGGGGTTGATTTTTACTTTTTATCTGACAATTGATTTTCTGACAGATGGATCAAAAACATTGTGTGATGGTTTACATTCAAATATATAGATTTGGTTCTTGTATATAGTTGTGGCACCTTAAACTTAAAAGCAATATACTCGATCCATGTTACTACATTTTTTAGGTGGATTCCAGGGATTGTTGTGCAGGGCTTTTTTTCATGCATTATATGACCAACGACTCCATGCAAACCCATGTGGTTCATTCTGCCTTGCAAGGCTGCTGGAACGGAAAAGGTCAACTTCTTTATGAGAGAGGTCTATGGAAATGATGCGCTGGTGCCAAGTGAGACAGGGTGTGTGATGGCTACTGCCCTCCAAGATTTTGTCCGGGCATATATGTTTGAAGCTCATACTGCCTATGGATTGGGGCTTTCTCACTTTCCCCTGCATCCAAAACTTCATGCATTGCACCACATAGCCCACGAGATTTTTAGAGAAGCGGAAATTTCCGATTATGTTCTCAACCCTGGGGTATTTGCATGCCCCATGGACGAGGATTTCATAGGACGCACTGCAACGATCAGCCGTTGCATAAGTCCTAGAATAATATCAAAGAGGACTTTGGAACGCTACCTCTGTCACATCCAACTGGCATGGGCAAGAAGCTGAGGAAAAAGAAGTGGAGTTAGAGGGCGGGTGGGATGATGAGAGAATGTGAAGAATGCAGTGCTGTTCCAACAAAATGATGCTTCAAGTTGTGGTTCAAGGATTCAGTTTTACCATTAATACCAACACACCAAATCATATATAGATTGGGAACCATTGGATGTGCTAATTTAGGATGTTATTTTGATCTATTTAGACCATAATAGCAGGGACGTGAATACCCGTACAGGGACGTGAATTTTTATGGGGTACGTACTGTAGACGTGAACAACCGTTCAAGGATATGAATCTTCTATTTTTATGTGAATTGTTAGCTTTTAACATCATGGCCAGGAAAAGGTATCCCAGGAGGAACGCAGGTATGGATATGGGACAACTCCGTACGGATACTATTCTAAGGCCCAGCTTTGGGCGAAAACATGCCACTCGTATCCTCCAGCGATGGGCCACTCAGCTTCGGGCCCGCACCTTTCGCCACTCGTGGAAATCCACCGCCTGGTTGCTGTCTCTGTCCAACAAGGCATGGGCCACCTGCCGGCACTGGGATGAAACCCGGAGATGGATGAGATTCCACTGGGTGTCGGATAGATAGGGTCCACATAGTCCAAAGATGTGTACTTATACGGTACGTATATAAATATATATATATATATAGTGTACAAATGTATCTATGCATATAAGAACGCACACAACCACACACACATGTATACAATGTGTATATATATATATATACATAATATGTATATACGTTGTCTACATATACATATATAATATATATATATATTATACATACATTTATAGTAATATGATACAATATAATATAATAAAATAAAATATAATATAATATCATATATTTTAATAAAATGGTCAGATAATATAATATAATATAATATAATAAAATAGAGTATAATATAATATAATATAATATAAAATAATATAATATAATATAATATACTGTAATATAATATAGTATAATATGTATACATATATATGTTATAATATACAAATACACTATACTAATATATATATATACAATTATATACATAGGTAATCATACGTGAATCGGACCCACAGAACCTTGGACATTCATAGACAACTTACTGATGTTCAAAACAAAGTTGAAAACTGTCCATGTTTTGAATGATCGAGACATGTCCTTCCCTCAATCCGAGAAATTCCCGATGGTATTTTACATGTACAGTATGCGGAGAGAAAGGAAGAGAGGCAAATGTTTATTGTATGGGTCAAATTTTGAATACAAAAAAATACATGTTCATGCCATTTCATGCATGACATACATGCATTCGATTGCATGGCAGTGCATTGCAGTCCACATGACGTGACATGCCACGCCACGCCACGCCATGCCATGCCATGACACGACATGACATGACACCACATGACATCACATGACATGACATGCCATGACACGACACGACAGGACATCACAGTACATCACATGACATGACATGACATGACATGGCATGGCATGGCATGACATGGCAGCACACGAAACTACATTGCATTAGCATTAACTTGCTTTGTTTTACTTCACTTTGCTTTCATTAATTGGATAATTACATTGACTACATACACTCGAGTGTATTGGTAGTTTACCTCAGCGTGTCTACATTTGTATGGCGGTTCACACCACTCAGCAAGTAGTAGGTTATATCTCCAGTTAAAGGCAGCCGATCACCAATATGTATGCGTCTACATACATGATCATACATGTATATATATATAGATAAACACAGAGGTACACGAATATGCATGCACACATCTGATTATATATGCAACTACATGTATATACATATATATATATTCTGGGTAAATTATAACATTTCACTAACCTGAATCAAGGCCATTTGGGGATGATTTCCCTTATCAACCATGATTCCAGGCTTCGTATATATATATGTATATATATACATACATATATATATATACACATATATATATATATATGGATTTTCCATCATAAACCATTCATTTTTGGGGTACCCCCATGACGATGGAAAGCTCCAGGACTATGGAATTTCCATTTGGGCTTTCCGTGGAGGTTTCCGAGGGGACCATCACCTCGATGCCGCCGAAGGTGTAGTCCACGTGCCTTGGGTTTTTTTGTTTCCCCTGAAGGGTCGAAAATCTGGCAAAATCATGGTAAAATATGGTAAAATCATGGGAAAATCCTGGAACTAAATAGTTCTAACTGGGCAATTTTCGATAGCTATATTATTTTTAGTTGATGGATGTTGGGGTTATAAACCAACATAGCTGGGAAAGCCCCGGGCCCGAGATGGATGATTTTCAAGCCAGGTTTGATTACCAAAGGGTACAGATTCCAGTAGCCCGAATCGCCGAACGGATTGGATTTATATAAATCTACATGGGAATGTGTCAAAACCTTGTACCCCTGGTGAACATCAAAATAGCTGGTAAATGGATGTTCATCCCACTAAAAATGGTATGTATAGGTATTGATCCATAGCCATATGTTTCCATTGTTTCCATTGTTTCCATTCATTTTAAGTATTCCCCTGAAATTGAGGTTCTCCTACTTCCATGGATACGATGGAGATATCTGTGATGACCGGGTCAAAACATGTAAGCCATCACTGGGAATGGAAGAATCTTCCATTTACATGGATCCACATGTCTTGGTCTTCACCAAAAATGCATGGTTTTGGCCCACAACAAAATCAATGAATATTCAAAGATATGTGTCTTTTGCTAGTTTTTTTTACATCTGACATCTGAATCATGTTCAACAAATCCAAAGAAATGCTGCGGCCCAGTCAGCCTTTTTTCAGGCCGGTCAGTCAGCGGGTCTCCAGTGACTTGACCCAGAGGATTCCACCATTGATGGTTTCTGGCATTGGGTTTAGTAAACACTTTACCACAATCACCATCAATGAAAAATTAACAAATCACCCAATACATCAATATGAATCAATCATGTGGCTGTCATGTGGGATTCCGTCTACTTGAATATATAATTATATATATGTGTGTATGTAGTATGTATATTAATTATGTATATATATATATACATGTTATTTGTGACTTATCACCCCATATAATGGCGTTTCTTTTCCAATATATATATATATATACATACATACATTATAGGGTATTAATGGCTTATACATGGCTTATATCATGCCATTCAATGGCTTGATGATGGTTTACCACATGACTCCTCTCCCGGAAGCTTTTATCATCTCAGCTGCTGCAAGAGCTCAAGGATTGTCAGCTGCAATTCCTGAAAGGGATGGTTCGCTGCCCCAGCTACCAGTCAATGAATGACATGATCACTCTTTAAGATAGTCCAGATAGTCCACAACAAATGGTCATCTTTTGCTTATGGTTATTTATGGTTATTTTATGTAATTTCCGTTCATCGCAAGAAAAAAACAGCTAAAGGATTAGAGTTTCTACTATCTACCTATCTACCCATCCAAGGTAGGGGATGAATTGAGGAACTACGAAAAAAAAAACATGGTGAGTTATGGTGACTTAACAATTTGGATTCACCATGAGAAATTAAGATCCAACCCATGAAATCCCATGAAATCCAGCCTGGGCCACTCGGGCACTGATGGAGTAAAACTGTACACCTTATTATTTTTGTTGCCTTCAAAGCAAAACATAGAGACAAGAATTGTTTCTGTTGCCATTGGCTTGGCACTGTGCATTGCACTGTTCTTGAATTGAAACCAGTGAGTCACTGGCTCCTTTGCTGGCCGCATTCCCATCATTCTTGCCTGAGCTCCCCATTATACGGTTGGTCAACAAATACCTTTAATGGTTCGAGTCTCATTTTGTTATGGTCTAACCACCATATTTTTGGTGGTAAAACTCGACATTTGCGTTAAACAACAACATGTTTGGTGTAAGAATCTCCCAATGGTTTGACATTTTGAACCTACTGCTGTTGTTTTTTTTTGGACCATCTTTGGGCTGACAATCAAACATCAACCCCGCCTTCAGCAAGCCACTCATGACCTGCCATTCTTCGTAGGAGATGGAACCTGGCGATGGCTTCTGAATAGAGATGCAGAGAGTGTCGACGTCAGTATGTGACATTAGGATAAAATCAGGCAGGTACAAGGAAAAGGGGACAGCCTTCATGATTTGATCGAAACCCAACTTGGTACAAACGTAGAGACATGTAGAGATTGGAGATGTGGCATGTTCATGTACAGCTTCCAGCGGGACCATTCGTTGCACCGTTGTGTTCCCTTCACAGCTGCACTGTTTTTTACGATGGTGAATACCTTGCGGATCCTTACAGGATGGACCCTTACCATTTTTTAACATACCCAGATTGATACATCCCCTGGTTAACTGGGGGTACCCTCTGGTAATTTAACATAGCTATTGAAAATGGCCATTTGTAGTGGATTTACCCATTGAAAATGGTGATTTTCCATAGTTACGTTAGTTTACCAGAGGGTATTGTTTTTCAGAAAACGATCACCATTGGTTTCAACTGAGGCCGCCATCTCTATGAATCCCGGACATTCGATCCTCTAGGCCGGCCAGGCTGCGAAAATTGGATGAAAAAAAAACCCTTTGTGGGAAAAAACACGCCTTTTTATAAGCTAAATCCTTTTTTGGATGAACACCCACTGATGACTTCATTTACTGTAACTTCATTGCTCGTCAGATGATCATCGCTGCGCATGGCGGAAATATGTTCAGCACCCAAATTCTGCTGCGGCATGGGTGAAATCCCAATGAACTGTAGTTGAAATGTTTTATGTTTAAATCCAAATAATTTTCATAGGTCTATATTGTATGTATATTGTATGAGTCCTTAAAAGTCCTTTGATATATATAATATATATATATAATTCATATGTCTATATTGTACGTATATTGTATGTCTATATTGTATGTATATTGAACAAGTCCTTAAACGTCCTGTGATATATGTATATGTATATATATATAATAATTCATATGTATATATTGTATGTATATTGTATGTCTATATTGTATGTATATTGTATAAGTCCTTAAGAGTCTTTTGATATATATATATATGATTCATATGTCCATATTGTATATTGTATGTCTATATTGTATGTATATTGTATAAGTCCTGAAAAGTCCTTTGATATATATATATATATAATTCATATGTCTATATTATACGTATATTGTATGTCTATATTGTATGTATATTGAACAAATCCTTAAACGTCCTTTGATATATGTATATATATATAATTCATATGTCTATATTGTATGTATATTGTATGTCTATATTGTATGTATATTGTATAAGTCCTTAAGAGTCTTTTGATATATATATATGATTCATATGTCCATATTGTATATTGTATGTCTATATTGTATGTATATTGTATAAGTCCTGAAAAGTCCTTTGATATATATATATATATAATTCATATGTCTATATTATACGTATATTGTATGTCTATATTGTATGTATATTGAACAAGTCCTTAAACGTCCTTTGATATATGTATATATATAATAATTCATATGTCTATATTGTATGTATATTGTATGTCTATATTGTATGTATATTGTATAAGTCCTGAACAGTCCTTTGATATATATATATATATACAATATATATGATTCATATGTCCATATTGTCTATATTGTATGTCTATATTGTATGTATATTCTATAAGTCATGAAAAGTCCTTTGATATATATATATATAATTCATATGTCTATATTGTACGTATATTGTATGTCTATATTGTATGTATATTAAACAAGTCCTTAAACGTCCTTTGATATATGTATATATAATAATTCATATGTCCATATTGTATGTATATTGTATGTATATATTGTATGTATGTTGTATAAGTCCTGAACAGTCCTTTGATATATATATACAATATATATGATTCATATGTCCATATTGTATAGTGTATGTCTATATTGTATGTATATTCTAAAAGTCATGAAAAGTCCTTTGATATATATATATATGATTCATATGTCCATATTGTATATTGTATGTCTATATTGTATGTAAATTGTATAAGTCATGAAAAATCCTTTGATATATATAATAATAATAATAATATTAATAATTCATATGTCTATATTGTATGTACATTGTATGTATATTGTATGTGTATTGTATGTATATTGTATGTATATTGTATGTCTATATTGTATGTATATTGTAAAAGTCCTTAAAAGTCTTCTGATATATATATATATATATGATTCATATGTCCATATTGTATATTGTATGTCTATATTGTATGTATATTGTATAGGTCCTGAAAAGTCCTTTGATACATAGATATATATATATATATATGATTCAAAGGTCCATATTGTATAGTGTATGTCTATATTGTATGTATATTGTATAAGTCATGAAAAATCCTTTGATATATATATATAATAATAATAATTAATAATAACAATAATTCATATGTCTATATTGTATGTATATTGTATGTATATTGTATGTCTATATTGTATGTATATTGTAAAAGTCCTTAAAAGTCTTCTGATATATATATATATATGATTCATATTTCCATATTGTATATTGTATGTCTATATTGTATGTATATTGTATAGGTCCATACATATATATATATAAAGAGAGAGAGAGGGAGAGCAACCACCCATTCACAAGTCCGGCCTCCGCCGTCAGGATCCAGATATCGAAAGATCTGCACCGCTTTCTCCGGATCTCCGAACCTTTTTTGGCATGGAAGATTCGTGTCGGCAAAGGGAGATGCACAGTGAAAAACATATGATATGACGATATGATATTCTCTGAATTTAGTTCATCTCCTGATTCACCAGTCTACTGTAATTTGTTTTGGTCGTTTGAAGATGATTCCCGCCGAAGCAGCTGTAGTGAAGTTCTGGCTTATCAGCCATGATTTTAGAAGGCTTTCGGCTCCATATGGACATGACATGTCAGTTTCCTTTAGATTTCACTGATATCAGGCACTTCAAGACGATTAATCCACTTCAGTTTCAAGAAAAAATGGTTTCAATGACCCAAGTGTGTGACCTTGTCGAACATATCACCACAAGGGTTGGAGCAACATCCGAAGTAGAGTCTAAAGATTGCATCATTCGTCCCAAGATGAAGCATTCTCTTTTCATGAAGCATCTGTCCATATGTATGCAGCATACACGACCCTTGTTGGTGCATACCAGTTTAAAAAAAATACATATTCATTGTCCACTTTGGTCAAGAAGGTGGTGAAAGAAATCGAGGGAATTTGATGGTTGAGAACCACATTTAATGATATATATATATATGTGTGTGTATATCGACGTAGTTACGTATGTGTATGTGTATGTATATATATATATATTTAAATGCTATACATATATATTTATGCTATGTATACATGTATGATTATATATATATAATGATATATATATATATATCATATATATATATCATATCTATATATTATATATATATGATATATATATATATATGATATATATATATATCATATATATTTCATATATATTTCATAAATTTTTCATATATATTTCATTATATATATATATATTCATATATATATGATATATATATATATATGGCCCCGGCCAGCAACCCCCCCCACCCCCCATGTCATGGTCATGGTCCCATATGTACGCTGTATGTAGGAGGATCTATGTAAGATATAGTTTACACTATGTAAGATATAGTTTACACACCCCTCCCACCTGTGGGATGGGTGGGGTATAGTGTGTCACTAGCATGTAAGGCAACAAGTAGGTAGTTTGTGGCGCAATGCTCCATGCCCCCCCCCTGTGGGATGGGTGGGGTGTTATAGACGCATCATGTAGATAGTGTATAGCTACATGGCTTGCACATATGTATAGCATATGAGATCTTGACAGTAGCTAGTATATGGCTACTATAAAGGTACTTTATGGGCAGTAATACCTAGCAAAATAGCGTGATGCAGGGTGTAGCTTAGCCCCCCCCCCCGTGGGTATCCGGTTAGGCCCAGCAGCTCAGTCCATCCCAGGCTGGCCACCGCAGTTTTGAACTCCATCCTGGCGAACGAGATCGGAACGTGGAAAGATTTAGAGGGCACAATTAAAATGACATTATATGACATTATATGACATTATATGACATTATATGACATTATATGACATTATATGATTATATTTTGTAATATCATTCACAAATAATGATATGTCAAACTCACTACCGTCACTACGTTGTTTATATTTGGTGTAATACAGAAATGTTTGTGAATGGTAATGTGTGGATATACGGATACACAAAAGGGTATGTAAAAATGTGTATGTGTATTAATGTGTATATCTATAAATAAGTATAATGTATTCACGTACATGTATATTACATATGTATATATATATGTGTGTGTGTATAAATGCATGTGTGTATATATATATATGTATATGTATATGTATAAATGCGTATAAATGCATGTATATAAAAATGTACATATATATATATATGCATGTATATATATATATGTATAAATGCATGTATATATGTTTACGTGGTTCCTTTTCTTTAAATGTTACATAGATCACTACTCCTGTCAATGGGGATTCACCAAGGTGCAGTAAAAGGGCATGCCAATTTATGTGTTGCTGGACCGGCTTACATTTAAGACCCCTGAATCCAATGTGTATATATATATATGTATATATACATCTATATACATCTATATACATCTATATACATCTATATACATCTATATACATCTATATACATCTATATACATCTATATATTATATACATAATATGGAAGGATGAATGGATGGATGGATGGATGGATAAAGATATGCATATGCTAACTACATTTAAAGTGACGGATTTTTAAATATACGAACTGGTATTTTAGACTACCTCGGGGAAGATTTTCCTTGGCCCGCCCTGCCATACGGATTCTAAATATGAGAACAGCCATTTGAATCATTTAAATATCACTCTGGGGCCGCGTGGTCTGGCCCGCCCTCCACATATTTAAATGTCGTTACTTTAGAGATATGGATAGAGATACAAATATATAGACATAGACATAGATATAATTATATATATAGAGAGAGAGAGACAGATATAGAGATAGATATAGATATAGAGATAGAGATAGATATAGAGATAGAAATATATATAGAGATAGATATGGTATAGAGATAGATACAGAGATACAGTAGATACAATGATACATAGATAAATAGATAAATAGATGGTCTTCTGGTCGAATTCTTCCATATCTTGGGGAAACCCATGGGCTCATCACCCATTGACCCCCACAGTGATTGTTTGATCGGTGGCCCACAGCAAGCCTAACCTCAAGGCAGGCTGCATGGTACTGCTTCTGGTCGCTGATTTCAACTCCAAAAATTTGCTGCTGTCAATTGGGAACATTGCCAGCCAAGGTAGATCAAGGTAGTCTGGAACTGAGACGAACAAACCCTTGAATGCGGATCCTTGGCTTCTTGAGTTTCCCAAGAACTCTTCGAAAAACTGGTCAATTTTCGATACCCTCTATTTTCTTTTGCTGGATGTTGAATGTTTCTTTACAGTTCCTACATCAGAAATAGTCCATCCCTAAAATAATATGGTGTCATTATGGGTCATTCAATATATTCAGCTAACATTTTGGTGGTATAGTATATTGCCGCAGCCAACGACGACCTCGACTTGTTCCCCGAGACCCAATGGCCTCCCCCATCTTGCGACAAACCATTTGTATATTTAACAAGATGACAAGATGAATGAAATATAATGAAATGCTATACATTTATAATATATATATATACACATGATGTCCATATATGTCCATCTCAAATTTCAAGTCTTCTTTCCACTAAATTTACTAAGTTAATCAACACAGGGGGAGCAAGCCATGGCCGCAACATGGCGGCAGCACAAACTGAGCTTGCCGTTTCCATCTGGCCTCGGGAGAAACGGCTCCGTTGGCTCCCGAAGTTTCGACCAATGGATACCAAGTGGATACGATAGTTCAATCTGATGATATCTTTTCTGATGTGTTTTCTATAGTTTTAATATGGCAATGCCTGGCAATTTTGAGGTGTACCCAATTCTGACAAAGAAATACATGTAATACATGTCTTCACGTGAGTGTTTCTTCAAATGAAGAACCCTCACAATCCACTGAATTGGTCTATTTCCGATGATTTTTGTAATGTGGCTGTGATGGTCCATTCCCACAGAAATGGGCCGGTTCCACCATGAAATAACCATGGTTCAGTGGATGATTGAAAATGACCGTTGAAAGCAGGGGGATGAAACAACGCGTTGAGGGATGAAACAAGCCCTTGACCAACTATCATCTTGCTTCATAGAGTACTCCAGCCTCCCCATGAAACCTCTCTTTGAAAGGAACCCCCCAAAACCAACCGAACCATGGTTGTTGGTTCAATTATATACAATGTTTGCTCCTGAAATCACATGTTTTTGCTTAGGCTTACGTCACCATTGTTGGTTTTGCGTCATCACTTTTGTTGGCCACATCACCGTTAGGTTTTGTTGCTTAAATCACCCACCCCAACCCAACAAACGGGACTCCCAACCCGTCGATCAGCTTGAAGGCCTTCTTCAGGTCATTTTTAAAATGTCGCATCACCTGGAGGATCAACAGGCTGGGTCGAATTATCACACTTCGAATGGCAAACTACAAACTATTGGGACATACTGTGTCCTGAAGGTCTGTGTAACCTAAACGACGAAGCCTATACATGAATAGTACCAAGTGCAATAGGTGCCTTGCTGCCTTACGATGACACATCAGTGGTTTGTGGTCGCAAAGAAACTTGGAAGGTGCCAGCAGAGCCAGAAATCAGCGCCAAGGGAAAAACTGTTGCATGGAAGCTGAACAGTAAAACAAATGATAGAAAACAAAAGAACTGTTGCTAAAAGAAAGCCAGGATGCCAAAGTGGATGTTTCTTTTGAGTTTTTTTCTTGGGTGGTTGTCTGATATATATATATATAATTATACATACACTATATATATATATACATACATACATACATTATATATATATATATGTATACACATATGTATACATCATATATATATATTTATATTATAATCATGTATTGACATGCATGAACTATCCAATTGTTGGAGGTAAGCAATGTTTGACCGCCATTGCAATGTGTGTGAGGATCCCCCACGCGACTTTGACCTGGACGCTGCAACACTTGGATGTGAGCAATGGCGGGCTTCATGGGACACCATGGGACAGCAGCTCTTAGCTCATTTCTGTGTTCAATCTTTCACATATATCACATTATATCACATTATATAATGTAAATGACTCTGTAAATGACTAATTTCTTTCTTGCAGCCCAGCCTTGCAGCTACCATCAGCTACCCTACCACCAAAAGCCACCATGTTCTAAATGACCCCATCCCAGTTTGACCAGAGGCACATTGACCAAAAAGCTGCTGACCGCTTCTGGCACCCCCTGGCCATGGAAAAGGTCATCACCGGCCGCAAGAAATGCCAAGGCCGTGGTACAAATGGTATCATGGCGGGGAGAAACCGATGGTTTTTGATAAGCCAATCGATATCATGGCGATGTAATGGGATATGTAACAAAGATGATACTTGGGTTTCTCCAAACATTGATAGGAACATTGACCATTCAAACAATTGGTTTTTGAATGTAACAATGTAAATACATGAGCTCCCGTCAAAATCCTTTACATTTGAGTAGTTGCTAGTGTTATGGTTATCGCTTTTGGGGGGGGCCTATCGCTTTCCAGGGTTTTGTGGAAATCAGCATATTCGAGATCCAACATGAAGCCAAAGTCCATTCCTAAACAGGCTCTGAAATGGATCGAGCAATTGTTTTGTTGGTTTCAGTTGCTTCGGCAGCACTTCATGTTCCTTTCGTGTTGCATTCATTTGCATGCATTTTCCTTCATTTTCCTTTCATTTGCATGCATCTTCCTTTCATTGTGCATTCATTTCCTTTCATTTTCCTTTCATGTTCTTTTCATTGGTATTCATTTCCATTCGTTTTCCTTTAATGTTCCTTTCATTTTCATCCCAATGTGCATTCATGTCCTCTAATATTCTTTTCATTTGCACACATTCTCCTTTCATTTTGCATTCATGCCCTTTCATTTCCTAAAGTTATGGAAATGGCTCTATGGCTTGGCCAGGGAACCGAGTGCAACAAATGGTTATCGCTAAATAAGCCCTCCAACATATGACATTGTTCGAAGGAAATCTGCCACAAAACGACACAGAGAGAGAGAGAGAGAAAAAAAAAGAAAGAAAGAAATAAAGAAAGAAAGAAAGAAACAAAGAAAGAAAGAAAGAAAGACAGAAAGAAAGAAAGAAAGAAAAAAAAAAAAGAAAGAAAGAAATAAACAAAAAAAGAGAGAGAGAGAGAGCGCGAGCGAGATGGATGCCGAATGCTATGGTAACTGCAGGAAACAGGGCACCACAGGTTGAATTTCCCTCATCGGTTTTGCCCGTTCTGTGAATGTGCACAACAGTATTTGCTTGGCGTACGCCAAGTTTAATGGACTGTCGTGTATGGTCCCAGGTTATCGCTTTTGGGGGTGCCCTATCGCTTTACAATGTTTCGTACACATCTCTGACAAGAAACTCCTGCAATACTAAAGTAGTCTTCAACAATTTTGACCGTGGCTCACATATGTATATATATAATTATACGTATATATAGTATAGTAAGGATAGTATGCAATAAATAAGACATATATTACGCGTAGGATATTTGGGTTTGTCCAAAGATGGGGAATGCCCAAACACTGCCATTGAATAATAAGGCAAACACCGTTTTCAACCCTGAATTTCTGGGCTATCCTATTTTCAGACATGTCTAAATTGGATGGTTGATACTATAGACTATAGTTCTATTTTCTAAGGGTCCCAGTTCAACCAAGTTGCTATATGGGTTTGTTTCAAAATTTGAACCCCGCATTTCATGGTATCATCATGGTATCATCATCATCCCCATTTGAATCACAAGATGCTTTGAGTTCGGGTGTCTTTTATTTAGAGACAGTATTTCGAGTGACAACCGGCATCAAACATCCAGGATTTCCCGGAATGGTCAAGAGCTCCCCTGGTTGATGTGGTTGAGCCCTACCCCTCTGAAAAATGATGGACTTCGTCAGTTGGGAGTATGACATTCCCAATATATGGGACATAAAATTCATGTTCCAAACCACCAACCAGATAGATTTTGGAAGTCAAGATGTTCCCTCTCCACGCCTGAAGAAAGGAACACCACATGATGTTGTGCTTGCTAAGGTCCACGTTCCAACCCCTCAGGCGATTTGTGCCACCATAGTTGCAGGAAGCTTCCCCCGAGTTATGTTTGTTGGTTTTATATCCCATCTAACTCTAGATATCTACACCATAAATCTTACTTCGCCTGGTTACAAGCAACAAACATCTGTCGCTTGAGCGTCCCTTCCTGTGGTTTGCTGTACTTCCCGTCATCATAAAACTGGGACACGTTGGACGCTGGTGAGGCCAGAATCAAAAAGTTTTGGATGATGTCAAGCCAGGATTCTTAATAAACCCTGGTTGAATACAGTAATTGGTGGGTTACGGGTTACCCCAACAGTTAGTATCAGTGATGATTTGCCACATGGTAACCCCCCAATTTGTGTGTGTCACGAGTTTACCAATCTGGGCTTGGCGGCTTGACACAATTGGGATTGATGTTACGGCAACAACTCAATATTAAGATACATTCAACAAACATTTGAACATAAGATGGGATAACATATATATAATATATATAACACTTTGCGGATATGAAAGGATGAAAGCGGTGAGGGGCTCCCAATGACTTGATCAATCCATTCTTTAGTGGTCGGAATGACGTTCTTGCCACAAAAGAAACAGCAAAATGATGTTCCAATATATTTCCACCTATACTTCCATATATCATTCTGTGTCCTTTTTCTTTCTTGGTGATTTGAAATTTCTATACATATATAATCATATAGATATAATGAAGGAATATAAACGATGAAAAGGTATGACAAAGTTCCGTTTTGATGTTAACTATACGGAGGTTTCCTAAAATGAGGGGTACCCCCAAATCATCCAGTCATTAGACATTTTGTGTATTGAAAGCCCTGGTGACTTCGGGATCCCCCATGACTTAAGAAACCCCCATATCTATCCAAGTGGGTGACATTTCCAGACATCCATAAACGGGCCATGGCTTCGAACTGTTAGTTTACCCTCTGGTAACTATATCGGGGGGGTTCCTAAAATCGGGGTAATTACCCCAAAACATCCATTTTATTGTCGGATGTTCCGCTGTAAACCATCCAGCTATTGGGGTACCTTCATATAAATTCATCAAACTAACATAGATATGGAAAATTCCCCATTTCAATAGGGAATTCATCCATAAATGGACCATTGTTCACGTCTATGCTCGTTGATCATCCCCCCCATGCTATAGCGCACCCGTAGCGACTCAGGAAGTCTCTTCGCATTTCCATGTTGCGATCCTGGCGAGTTTCACCCGACACGATTCGTGGGGTAAACCATCCTGAAAATTGGACATTTGGGGGTTTCTTACCCTCTGGTAAACTAACATAACGATGGAAAATCACAAATTTTAATGGGTAATTAAATCTACTATAAATGACCATTTTCAATAGCTATGTGAGTTTGCTGGAGGGTAAGTCATGAAGGATCCCCAAAACATCCCGGTTCACCATGGCTTTCAATGCCAAGTCAATGTCTGACCGGATGATTTAGGGGTACCCCGTGACTTTGGAAACCTCCATTTGACCATTTTTATGGGTGGATGAATGGGTGGTATAAAAATTTAAAATTTGATGGCATTTAACAAAGAAAAAAGATGAATTTCCCGGTAAAAAGATGTGAAAAACCATGGAAAACCTATGGTTTCCCTTTTGGTTTTATCATTGTGACAAGTGGCTGATGTTCCATAACTGTCAGTTTAGGGTACATGGGATTAGTGATTAGTGGGCTACCAGTGGGATCCCATGAAATTCATATCAAAAAAAGATCAATATACCATAGGTATCCCCACAATATACCATCAATACACCATAAATAAGTGGGTTCCCCACAGTTAATGAAGCATGGTTCCTGGGAATCCTTTGAATGGACAACAGATATTGATGGGTATATGAAGCCCTAGCGATGGGGATGTAATATGTGCTATGCTCATCTCACCAGTACTGGACCAGTATGACACCTATGTGACTATGTGGGGAGTGACCACCCCCACAACTTATGGGAAAACAAACCATGTAACTTGACCATGGTCATCATATGATCATTATCCTTTGAGGCTTCATCCCCAGTTGATTTTGACCCAGTTATGATACCAGGTAGATTCCAAGTAATTATGCCATTTACCGCATGATGGGAATCAGTCACCAGTTTCGATTCCTGGCATCATCCAATTATATAAGTCAAGTTAAGTCCTACATTTGGCTGGCTCAGTCCCAATTTGTGCTGCTTAAGTTCCAAGTTTTGCTGGTTCCCTATGTTTGGAGCTGAAAATTCGATACGCATCTGCAAGCTTGGTGATATCCTCGTGGGTTTGTCGTCAAACACCAACTTTCGCTGAAATGCCTTTCTTCTCCAAGGTCCATCAAGAAAAGATCACCCAATTCAATTAGCTTAAACAGGTTTTCCATGGTTTCCCTGTATTTCCTGGGAATGACCACTATTGACAACCAGAAAAAAAATGTTCACCACTCAATTCGGGGAACCGTGCTGAATCAAACATGTTAAAACACAATTTGGTCTGAAAACAGAGGTACCCCCTAAGATCCTACAGATGTTCATCATGTTGAATTGCCACGTATTTGTCCTGTATAAAGAGCATTAAATAACCATAACAAGCGGCTGGTTTCAGGCCTCGGGAGAGCACATGTACTGCCAGGTGAGAGCTCCTCCTTGAGGAATAGCCCTGGGCGACAGCAGCGTATATATATATATGTATGTATGTATGTATGTATGTATGTATGTATGCGTGTATGTATGTATGTATGTATGTATGTATATATATATGTATGTGGATCCATGTATATGGATACGAATAATCTAATATATAAGAGATTGTAGGTGCACGGCACTCAGCAATCTGCTTGACAAACACCACCAAGTTCAGGGAGCGTCCGACACTGCACCAATAAGAATTCAGGCCTGGAACTGGAAACCCCAGGCTGCTATTGCAACCTGAAAATTGATGAAAATTGCCTAAATTTGACCGTGTATCACCATCATCCCTGTTACATTTTGAGGGACGCCCCATTTTTGGACAAACCAAGGTTCTTGCCACTGCGATGTTGCCCAGTCATTGATCATGCCATTCCTATCTCTCCTCTGATTGCTGCTTTTAAGGCATCTGAAAAAAATATTAGCAACCAGCAATGTTTAAATCCATAACTAATATAGTTGGAAGCAACGTGTATCTGAAACCACCAACCTGCTGTTGAACACAAACTGAAAGACGTATTTGTTTCTCATACTTATATTTCTATCATTATCTATTGCTCAAGTAAGCAGCCCTGACTTCAAGGATCCAGATTCACATGGTAGGCAAAGTTGTTGAAACTTGCTTCAAAACCCAGAAACCAATAGTATTACAGTAGTATATTACAGTACATAGACATTACCCCCTGGTAATCAAACATGGTGGCACGCCCTGTTGGACTCTTGACTATTGGAGGGTAGTTACCAAAAAATTGCTTCCAGAAGTTCCAGTAAATCCCCATGTTTGTTGGTTTTTCTTGAGTTCTGCCATGGGGGTAAACTAAGAATTCGATGTGGACAATCCACTATGTGTAGATCCTTGTTTGAACACTCAACCATTAGTTGTCCACTAAAAGAATTGGATTGAGGGAAAATTTACAGGAAACCCATCTGATGGTAAAACCCATGGTTTCCAGTTAAGGTGTTCCCTTAAACCAATCCATTGATCTCCATGTTACACATCAATATATAGTAGTATATGAACTATAGTTACCATTTTCATCCGCCAAGTTTGATTTACAAAGCCAGGTTCTACAAAGAAAGAGACGAATTGTTGGATCTCCATGTTTAATTAGTTTTCCACATATATATATATATATACTATATATAGTATATATATATTGTGTATATATATATATGGTGTATATATATATATATATATATTGTGTATATATATATTGTGTATATATATATGGTGTATATATATATAGTGTGTATATATATATATAGAGTTTATCTATCCCCCTCAAATCGACCGATGCTAAGGCCACAGGCTGTGGGCTTTGCCATCCGACGGGCACCTCATTTGACGCACTTAAACATGGTGATTAAATACATAAATATATTATTTTATTTTATTTAATATTAAAAAATAATATATGTATATATATATATATTGTATCTTAATATATGTATTTATATGATCAATGATATATATATATAATATCTATATATATATTTACAGTAGTAATTAAATAATATAATATATATATATAATATATATATTACACATAATATATATATATATTAATATGTAATATATATAAAATATAAAAATCATATATATCATATAATATACATATATATATCAAATATATAAAATATAATATACAAAAAAAAATATACATATATATATATATAATATAATATATAACATATATATAATATATATATATACAACATATAATATATATATATAATATATACAATATATATAATATATATAATATATATAATATATATAATATATATAATATATATGCATAGATTATATAATATTAAAAAAAAAATATATATATCATATATATAATATATAAAAAATAATATAATATATATATAATATATTATATATAATATATGTAAAATATAATATATATAATATATATAATATATATATAATATAATTTATAATAATATTGAATATATATAATATATAATAATATTTAATATATATAATATATATAGTATACATAATATATAAAATTTAAATAATATATAATATCTATATTATTTAAAATATATATAATATAATATAAATATGTCATAAATATAGTATATATAATATATATATATATATATAATTTATATAATATATATATAATATCTATAATATAATATATATATATACAATATATATAATAGAAATAATATATATATAATATTTAACATATTTAATATATATATATAATATATTTAGTATATAACATAATATATATATAATATCTATAGATTAATCATATGGACCAGGAGTCAAAACTAGTACCTCCCAATGCCTTTAACAAAACCCTTTCGGACATGCGCTCGCCTACATTTGACTGGGCAGGAAATCAAGCCGCTGCTTCTATCGAATTAAAAATTTAACATCATTTAGACTAGACATTTCGAAACACCTTTCTATAAAAAATCAACCACTCCCGCTTAACTTTATTTACCTTCAATAGTTCAATAATGTTGAAGCATCATCAAACAACTGGGACAATCTGCCACTTACGCCCCAAGTGGAACTCGCTATGTCGCCATGTTGCCATCTGAGGGTCCCTGAGATCTGGGTCCTGGCACCCCACGGTCAAAGGCAAATTCGCTCTTGTCATGCATCACGAACCTGGGAGATCCCAAGGCATGCTTCATCCTTCGGATCGAAAAAAAAAATCTACCAAAAAATGATGGCTACAAAATGCTCAGGGTGTTCAAAAATGGATATATGGTTATCAATGGCTATATATAAAATGAATTAAAATGATGGCTTTTAAAAAAAAATGATGGCTCGAAAACGACCCAGAACAATCCAGCTCAGTGGTCCGCAGGGTCTTGAATTTTAACCACCGGAAGAATGTCGCAAGCATGCACTGATTACGACCCGCATCAGCAAGATGCTGGGAGCATCCAGAGTTCCCTGGGTCCCTAAACTTAGTGGCGGCTTGGTAGCTGCTAGATCATACTAGTGGATGGTATTCCAATATCCCAGTCATGGTGAGAAACCCCAGTAGATTCCCAGTAGCCAACCTCTGAAGTTGCAATTATCCCAGGTGGAATCTCACCCAGTTGGATTTTTCATCACAAGACGTATCCTCCAAATCCCTTCGGTGGCATATGGCTGGCTGGAAAATATCAGTTAAATCAGGAAAATCACTGCATCATCTACAATAGTTGCGGATCTTCTCTTGCAAAGGTAGCTACGAAAGGGTAATAAGATGGGGATCCTGGTCTTGCAAGGGGGTGAATCATACCAAGCCCCACGAATAATTTGGCGCAATGGCAATGTGCCAATACTACAATGGTTGACCAAGCATCATTTGCCTCCTAATAGTTTTTATTTCGTGATGGTTGCAAGTCAATACTATCGATGTTAGTTGATTTGTATTTTCATTGTGTGATGCACACATATGTACACGCGCATTGTTCACCATAAAACTCCATATGTAGTTCAGCGTTATTCAGGGTTCTACCTAAAATGACATCTAAAGACTCCCAAAACGATAACATTTGTTCCTGGAAGTTATCGCCCATGGTTAGCTGATAATTTCCAGGTGTCCCACCTATGGGGGGTAAACAAAATCTAAGTTGCTCTATAACCTCATTCAACTGAAGATGTATCATCACTATTAACGACCCAATAAATTATACCAACATATCTATTTATTTTTATCTATATATATATATACATGATTTTTCCTATGTTGTCCTCCCGTCATTGTGGGGAACCTACCGTCATTCACAACTCGCAACAACTCAGTTGCTCACCTCGGGTTACGGATATTGTTCCTCTTGGTCTCTTTCATGTTGAGGCGCACCTCGGACTTCGATGTAACGTGTAACGACCTGGGCCACCTGAAATGTTCCCCAGGCTGATCCTTGAGACATTCACAAAAAAATGAAGGCTTCCATGGTCGTGGGGGTGCCCCAATAGCTGGATTGTTTATAAGGGAAAAACCACTAAAATGGATGATAACTGGGGTACCCCTATTTTAGGAAACCTCCAAATAGAACAATTTGAGGAAAACTGTACTGAATATGCTGAAGCCAATTTCAGGTGATGACCAAGCAAACTCAGAGGGCGACAGAGAACCCCAGAAAAAACAAAAAAAACGCACATCCAAGGTAACGCCAGTACAAGAACAACTTAGAAGATGGTGCCCCCGTTCGATAGCTATATAAGTTGGCAAACCTAATTCCAATAAGTGGGATAGGACTTTTGGTAGATACATACCCTCAAGATCAAACAAACCCCGTTGTCCGACAAATTAGGACCCCAAATCTGGGTTCTAGAATGGTATCCTTTCAAAAAACCCAAGGCTTTTAACATCCCTCAACGGAGAGCAAATTAGAACCCCAAAGTCTACGCATGGTGGGGTTCCAAAATCCTGTTCCTGCAAGCCATAAAATCATGGAAAATTGAAACGTTGTTTTTTGGGAATCTCCTTGTTAAAATTTGCATTTCATTTGCACACAGTTTTTGTCCTCCCGTACGCATTGCGCGGTTCAGGTCATCAAAATGTTTTGGATTTTTCTGTTTTTGAAAGATTTGTTTAAGGCTGAGTCAGGCCCACCTTTTCCGAAAATATAAGCAGCACCTTTCTTTAGAGCAACGTCGGGATGGATGCAAAAATCGATTGCAACCTTTTGACCCTCTTTCCCCCCACAAAGACTGCGTCGTCCAGTCATCTTTTGAAATCACCTTCCTTTTAAAACATATTTTACCGCAATACAGTCTGGCAAGACTATCGCATTGAAGGCAAGATTGCCTTGCCCATGACCAGTCTCAAAACTTCCTGGGCCATCAGTCTCTCCCCCTTCTTTGTGCTCCGACAGTTCTCTATCAAATGCGCTGCAGACGGATGTAGAATGCAGAAGCGATGTGAGAAAAATTGCAAAATTTGGGATACAGCTGGCCATCAGTCAGCACCTAAGGTCTAGAATGGGTGCCTTTGGGCTTAAAAAGCACTTGACACGCACCGACCTGGGGAAGATGATTATAGACCCGCGTCCTTCTTTCCAAACGGTTTGGTTGAACCAAAAGTGTTGGTACCTAAAGAATGTGCAGAAGGATGTAGAATGTAGAAGGGATGCCAAAGGATGGCTAACTAGAATGGTTGCCTTTGGGCTTAAAAAGCACTTGACACGCACTGACCTGGGGAAGATGATTATAGACCCGCGTCCTTCTTTCCAACCGGCTTGGTTGAACCAAAGTGTTGGTATCTAAAGAATGGAGGTTTTGGGTGGAAAGAAGGATGCGCATCACTGCAGGTTGCTCATCACAACTTGACCTGGCATTTGTACTTTCCAAACAAAATTGGCATTGTGTGGGAGATTGGAGGTAATGGTGAAGCTCGTGTTTTTTCAATTGCGGATGTTGCCGGATATAATTCAATACGTTGTTTAACATTGCACATCGCTGCTGCTCGAGACCGTTTTACCTCCTTTTTTCAGAAATTTCAAACCAAGCGACATTGAAATCACCTGGTTTTGAAAATGGAAATCTTGATCGACCAAAACCAGGGATGCTAATTCCAAACATGTTTTGCACCTTTGTACAGATAGTACCTCATCACGACTTGGTTCCTTTTTCTGCACTCCAAATCAATGACCTTTTCTTGTGGTCTGTTGGAATCAATTTATACCACAACAAGGCTCATATATCCAAAATTTCAGGGTTCTACTTTGATAGCCTTTCAGGGTTCTAAAATCATAGTGATGATGATTTTAGAACCCTCAACGGCAAAAAAAAGGGGGGGATTCTAGACACCTCGATCTTGAGGGTATGTAGATATGATATATTGAACTAGTTGATGTGGCCAACCTAGTGCCATCCACAACTCCCAATTGGGGATGGATTTTATAAACCCATTTATACCTGGTGATGATTTGGGGATGGTTCTGGCATTGGGTGAATCCTACATTATTCCAGTTCTCCATGTTTCATCTATTATTATTAATTAGTTTTATACCAGTGATTAACGATTATTAACCACAATTATTATTATATCCATTACTGGATATATCAGTATTAACCACCTATATCATTATTAACCGAATTATAATCATTATTTTTTGAATAAATATTAGTAGCATTATTTGGTTTTAATTATTACTACTATATTGCTAGTTTCACTGGTTCATAGGGTGAGAATCCCGACTGGTCAGGACCCCCCGGCCACGAGGCTTGCAGCGATGCGATCTTCCGGGATCGACATGTCCAAGGCCTAGGGATACCATGGGGATGCCATTGAACCTGGTATGACCATCCCCTGGTGAACAAAGAAACGTTCGAAAACCAAGACGTGAACCAAAGCAATAACGAATACTTGAGTACATCTATTGTAGCATTCAAGTTTTACATATGTATAGTTATGTAAATACTATATGTATAGTGTATACATACGTAGATATAATGATATATGTGTGGACAAAGGCTGCACACTAATTTGTAAATCTCAATACATCTAACAACTAACACGCCTACGCTTTTTCCTCAAAGCACCAGCCATATTTTCAGTTATGTCCCAACCCACATTCCCAATCACCAGTAGCTGATAATATCCTCTGGCATTGTGGGTTGGGGATAACCCAACTAGTATCTCTCAAAGACTCCCCTGAATCAATCTATTTTCTTCAATCTATTTGAAACACAATTATCGGATTGATAAATATATTAAATATACTTGGTGTATCATGGTGTATGTTATATATTGAAAGCTCTATGAAGTGGGTACAAAATGGTCTTTACTCTTTCAAAAACCAATTTTTACTGCAGCCTATGTACCCTCCTGCAATCAAACATAGTAGTGGAATGTCCCATTCAAACCTCCATTTATAGAGGGTTTTCCATTGCCACGTTTGATTGCCAGAGGGTGTATCATATCACAAACCCTCCAGCAAACTAACATAGTTATGGAAAATGGCCCATTTACAGATGATTTACCTATTAAAAATGGGGATCTAAAAAATGGAGGTTTCCTAAAATCGCGGTACCCCCAAATCACTCAAGTCATTCGACCATGACAACCATGGTGACTTGGGGATCTCCCATTCCAAGAAACCCCCTTGTTACATGAGTCCAAGGAACGAAGTCCTGCTGTTCCGGCTGGATATACGGAAACAAGGTCAGGGTCTTGGTTCCGCTGCGCTGTTCCGCTGCGCGGCGCGGTAAACAGTTGAGATTTCACCCGCAGACATTGGATCACCAGTGACAAATGAGGACTGGTTGGTACTGCTGTTGGATCTGTAGTAATCAAAGACCTTTCATCAAGTCAAGCAATTCCTTGTTTTGTGTTTTGGTGGTTTCCCTCAAAAATCATCCGAAATCAACTGCTTAGCAGTTTCCTCCCAAAAACTGATCGTTGGGGATCATCATCCCATTTCTCTGGTTGCAAATAAACATTCCCCAAACCACCAATCAGATGTGTCTAGTTGCAAAATGTCTTAGGTTTGTTGGGCACCATTAATGATAAAAAAAATCAGTTCATTGGATATATATTTTCAATTTTAGACGATTCAATCCCCAAGTAGACTGTATATCCCTATGATTCTAGATGATGAAACACATTTTTTCAGACCATCATACCCAAATTTATACAACGAGAAACATGATATCAGAACATATATTAAATTGTATCTCCCAAGTGTCCAGTAAGTCCAGTAGATTCGATGCAATCCCCCGAAGAATTGTTCATTCTATCCCCATGACATTTGTTCATACTACGTTGGATGAAAAAAATGGTTGGCCTGAAACTGGTGTACTCTAACATCCGTTGATCATCAAATTTCCCAGTATATACTATAATTGTTATTTGGGTATGCCCCAATTTTGGCATGATATTAGACCCCCAGCATTTTTGTTGCACAATGAGAAACATAGTGTATACCAATTATATACAATAACTATTCCCGGTTGCATTTACCAGTGGATGTTATATGATGTTATATGCATATTATTCATACCAATCATACATGACATAAATCATGAAGCAATTTTATCCCCATGAAAAACTGTTATCGATTTTTCCCGTTCATAATATGGTCATCAACTTATGAATTTAATTGGTATATGGTATATGTTACATTATATCCCTGTGATATATCCACAGTTATCGCTTATAATCGTATCCCCAGTAAATATGGTTGGATTCAATTAAATAATATATGATTACAATTGTCTACATCATAAAATCAATGAATTATACATAATTATGATTAATTATGCATGTTATTAGCAATGATATCCCATGATATCCCAATGATATCCCAATGATATCCCATGATATCCCAATGGTTTCAATATATTCCACTGATATCCCATGCAAAATAGCTATCCCCGCTAGATGCCGTCACTTCGCCAGTCCCTTCCGCGTTTTGTTGTTGGGCGCGGCACTCCCATCCGCTGCCGCAGCCCTTTCCATTCCTTCGCGTCCTGGGGAAGGGCGGGCAGTTAGACTGAGCCCAGATTCCTAAGGAATATACTGGGAATATAATTGGAATACGAGATTGTCAGTCTTAGTAATTACAGCATATACAATTTATTCCCATTTGCATGAGGAATTTTTGATCCATATTCTACTTCAGAAAAAGTGTGATTTAGATGATATTCAAAAATTTCAATCATGTATCATATTCCCACATATTCTTGAGGATTTTTTGAAATATCCATGACTACAAATATATGTCGAGAAATGTATAAGGTTAATATCTAGACAAATGATGATAAATGAAAATATAGTAACCCAAAAAGTTTGGCGATTTTGTGAAATTAATCCTTACGGTCACCATCATTCCAGTGATGTCAAGGGGCAAATTCGTCAGAATCTATCCAGATATATGTGACATACGTAATATGGGGGGTTCGGCGACCAACAAAGATAGGAGATTCTGGAGACTTAAAGCCCTGGAGGAAAGCTTGCTTGATGCAATTTCCCTTGGAACCACTTGGGCCCGCACCAGCCGACTTTGCACCAGTTTCCTAGGACATCCCCAAACCGGTTGAGAGCAGAAGCCCCAGAATTCATCAACTTTTTAATTTTTTAACAGGTAGTATATACTACCACCAAAATTTACTTTCTTCGAGTGATCCCCACCCTGGAACACTATTCTGACATAGGGACATAGTTTCTGACATGCCGTCTGAAAATTTATATGGCATCTTGACATTCCTTCTGGCATTCTATCCGGCATTTATTCTGAGATTTTTTAAGGGGCGTTCATTCTGGCATTCTTTCTGGCATCTATTCTGACATTCTGAAACATTCTATCTGACGTTCTCTCTGGCGTCTGGCTGAGGTCCGGCAGCGCCCACTGAGCTCTGGAGCTCGCGGTTGAGGTCCGGCGTTTGATGTCCGGCAGTTCCCACTGAGATCTGGCGCTCGTGGTTGAGGTCCGGCAGTGTCCACTGAGATCCGGAGCTCGCAGTTGAGATGCGAGGCTGCTGGAGGAGAAGAAGGAGGAAGCAACTCTAATAAAATCATATAAAATCTAGAAACCCTCACCTGGCAGGTGGGGAAAAATGGAAATGAACTATACCACTATTTTAGTGGGATTTTTACGTTTCGAACTTTGGGGGTTACTGACTAATCCTATGTAGGCGGAAACCAACAGGTCAGGATTTTGGGATGGAAAAGTCATGATGCTGAAGCTGTTGACACACAAAACATTCACCAAGCACATCCCATTGGCTTCACCTACAAAGTTAGAATAGCCCAAGTTATTGCCATTTTAGGATAGGGAAAAATGATCATGGTTGGGGCAGTGACAGACACGCCGCTCCAAAATGGTTGGTCCTTTTCTTCCTGACGATGGGATGGTTCTGGTTCTGCATCAACCTCTATTGGGGGCCCCACTATATAGCATATATTGGTTTATCATGGTTTATCATTCTGCATATCCTGATTCTTGGGATGGTTTACAATAGCCCCCAAAATATGTGTGTTTCTACTTGGGAAAGGTCTATGGCATTATAATATCCCATTGTCCCTCTTATATCCCCATGGTATCCCCATCGCATACTCTGATTGGATCCCACTACAAGAAACACTCTCCGAGCCACATATTTTGCGGATCTGACAGTCGCATCAAAGCGCAACACAGCACCTCGTGAAAACACAAAGCAGCTAAGTAGTGAATTGCGGCAGGGGGAGTGGCAACGGTATTGCTTGGAGCCGAAAGAGTGTGTGAGAAGTGAGAAGGCAACATTTGTTGATACTAAAGAGTATGTACATGTACAGGGCATGTTCGTATGTACATGTGCTGTGAAAATATTACGAGTATCCTTGAATATATACACCTCAAAGCCAAATGAACCATCATCGCTTTTTATGAGTCAAAGCCAAACAAAGCCCTGCTCTATATGCTTCCAAGACCATAAACTGCTTACTCACAATGTCCTCACACATCTGTACACATTCTCATGCAAATTAATATCGATATACATATATTCAGATATTCATAAATAAGTATCAATTCTTTATTACTCACATGATACTCACATAAAATAGTAACTATAGGCACATATATGTACATAATTATGTACAACAAATATATTTTACATCTATGTATATAAGGTTCTTCTTTATTATATATCTACATCCCCATCATCCCCATTCCCTGTTCCGCTGGGCTGCACGGACCGCCATGCGGCACTCGCTGTCGCCGAAGACCCCCACGAGTTGACGACATTGCATGGAGGTTAAGAAGAGACGATCCTGCCGCATCTGCTGGGGTGCCTGGAAATAAAGGGGCGTGAAAATATGGGTCTTATATAATCTTATATATAATTGTATGTGCAGTATATATATATGTGTGTGTATTACATATACAGATAGATAGATATAGATAGATATAGATAGATAGTTAGATATGTTCATATGACCCTCTTGCAATTTAACACGGGAATGGAAAAACTCTGAAACAGGTGTTTCATGGATGATCTGGATATCTAATAATCAAATTTCCTGCGCAATACCCTTAAACCCCATGTTTTCAAATTTCATGTTCCCCACCAAAAGTCGAAATAAACAGGGTGAATCAACCGTAACAATGAGAAATCCCAAGAAAAAATGGAGGTTTTGGTCGCAAAATCATCGAACATCATGGGATTTGCCATCTTTGACCAGAGGGTAACTCCCAGTCCTAAAATCCCATCGCGAAGCCCGATTTTTGTTGGTACCCACTAACATAGCTATGGAAAATGCATCATTTATAGATGACTTACCTTTTCAAATGGTGATTTTCCACAGCTATGTTAAATTGCCAAAGGGTAAATCCCAGGTCCGTAGCTTGGAGCCCCTGAGGCCCCCGGCGCAAACTCCCCGCAGCACATGTACTTTGGCTCGCGGCGCGAGCGGTGCCTGGCCACGCGGGAAACTTGAGCGTCTTTTTTGGTGGAAACGAAGATGTTTTGAACAAAATATAATCTGCTAATATACTAATAATGGCTAATAAATTAGGGTTCATAGTGATTAGTGTTGATTCATATATATATATGGGCAAATTATAATAATTCACTAATCTGAATTAAGGCCATTTGGGGATGATTCCCCTTACTAACCATGATTTCCAGTGAGGTCGCAGTGAGGTCGTTATAATTTGCCCAGATATATATATATATATATACATATATGGGGGTTGTCCAAAATACCTTTTCCCGGACAGCCCTCAATCGCTCAGCCAATCGCGTAGCAACCGCGGTACCACAGTGAGCAATCGCGGAAGGGTTTGTTCTTCGTTGATCAGATCATATACATAAAAAATAAGTTATGTATTATATAATGAGGATCCATGCGTGAACGCATTCGATTTCAAATTTGGGAACAAAATAGGCTCGCGCGGTCCGGAAACGGTCCGGAAAACTCACAGTAGTACCAGCAGCAGTAGTACTAGTAGTACTAGTAGTACTAGTAGTACTAGTCGTAGTAGTCGTAGTAGTAGTAGTTGTTGTTGTTGTAGTAGTAGTAGTAGTAATAGTAGGAGGGGTAAGAGTAGGAGTAGGAGTAGGAATAGGAGAAGGAGTTCTAGTAGCAGGGCAAGGGAAGAAAGGGAGAGGGAGGGAAAGAGAGAAAGAGAGAGAGAGAGGGAGGGAGGGGGAAACAGATGGTTGCGTTTGACCGGTTTCTGACGGGTTTCTGACTGGTTTCTGACTGGTTTCTGACTCGTTTCTGACCCTTCAGCGGAACTCGTGTCAATTGGATTTAAAAGCAAGAGCAGAAATTCCTAGGTGTACTAGTGGTAGTGGTGGTGCAGTAGCAGCGGGTGTGGTGGTAGTACTAAGAGTAGTAGCAAATCTAGTAGTGGGAGTAAGGATCCATGCGTGAACGCATTCGATTTCAAATTTGGAAGCAAAATAAGCTTGCGCGGTCCGGAAACGGTCCGGAAAACTCACAGTAGTACCAGCAGGACTAGCAGTAGCAGTAGCACTAGCAGTAGTGGTAGTGGAAATTGCAATAGGAGTAGGCGTAGGAGTTCTGATGGGAGGGTGAGGGAATAGGCAAGGAGAGAGAGAGAGAGAGAGATTGCGTTTGGCCGGTTTCTGACGGGTTTCTGACTGGTTTCTGACTGGTTTCTGACTCGTTTCTGACCCTTCACACGAGTGCAATTGGATTTAAAAGCAAGAGCAGAAATTCCTAGGTGTACTAGTGGTAGTGGTGGTAGTGGTGGTGCAGGGTGGTGCAGTAGCAGCGGGGGGGGTGGTAGTGCTGGGGGTAGTAGCAAATCTAGTAATGAGAGTAAGGATCCATGCGTGAACGCATTCGATTTCAAATTTGGGAGCAAAATAAGCTTGTGCGGTCCGGAAACGGTCCGGAAAACTCAGAGTGCACTAGCAGTAGCAGTAGCACTAGCAGTAGTGGTAGTGGAAATTGGAATAGGAGTAGGCGTAGGAGTTCTGGTAGGAGGGTGAGGGAATAGGCAAGGGAGAGAGAGAGAGGTTGCGTTTGGCCGGTTTCTGACTGGTTTCTGACTATTTCTGACTCTTCCGTGGAACTTCTGTCAAGTGGATGACCTGAAAACATCTGCGCGGATTCCGCGCGCGGAATCCGTGCGGCCATGTCAATTATTGGCATCGTTCTAGTCTCGAAAAAAGTAGTAGTAGTAGTAGTAGTAGTAGTAGTAGTAGTCGTAGTAGTAGTAGTAGCAGTAGTAGTAGTAGTCGTAGTCGTAGTCGTACTCGTACTCGTAGTAGTAGTAGTAGTAGTCGTCGTCGTCGTCGTCGTCGTCGTCGTGGTCGTCGTCGTCGTCGTCGTAGTAGTCGTCGTCGTCGTAGTAGTAGTAGTAGTACTAGTAGTACTAGTAGTACTAGCAGTACTAGTAGTAAAAGTAGTACGAGTAGTAGTAGTAGTAGTAGTAGCAGTAGTAGTAGTAGCAGTAGTAGTAGTAGTATTAGTAGCAATGATAAGAGCTGAGGCGGATGGATGGATGGATGGATGGATGGATGGATGGGATGCTAGGCAAGTGCTGCCTTTTTGGTGTTTCTGACCTGTTTCTGACCTGTTTCTGACCTGTTTCTGACCTGTTTTCAGTTGGAGCTAGCTTGAATGTCCTTCTGACCTGAAAACATCTGCGCGGATTCCGCGCGCGCGGAATCCGCGCGGCCATGTCAATTATTGGCATGGTTCTGGTCTCGAAAGTAGTAGTAGTAGTAGTAGTAGTAGTAGTAGTCGTACTCGTACTAGTAGTAGTAGTAGTAGTAGTAGTAGTAGTGGTAGTAGTCGTAGTCGTAGTCGTAGTAGTCGTAGTAGTCGTAGTAGTCGTAGTAGTCGTAGTAGTCGTAGTAGTCGTAGTAATCGTCGTAGTAATCGTCGTAGTAATCGTCGTAGTAGTAGTAGTAGTAGTAGTACTAGTACTAGTAGTACTAGTAGTACTAGTAGTACTAGTAGTACTAGTAGTACTAGTAGTACTAGTAGTATTAGTAGTACTAGTAGTACTAGTAGTACTAGTAGTAGTAGTACTAGTAGTACTAGTAGTACTAGTAGTACTAGTAGTAGTAGTACTAGTAGTACTAGTAGTAGTAGTAGTAGTAGTAGTAGTAGTAATAGGGTGGTAGCCGTATAACCAATCGCCAACCAATCGCTCAGCCTATCGCGATGCAGGTTTTAGCAATCGCGCAAAGCAAAGTAAACGCATCAATTCATAAATTTGTGACCTGCTTTTACGGACGGCTCCCATATATAATATATGTTTGTCACATGCCCCTAAATGTTAAACACCGAGAAACCATGGCTTACTAGGAAATGAACGACATATTGGGACCCATTTAGGGTGCGTTGAATTGATGCTTAGTGTCAGGGGATGGGATTAAAAGAGCTGCCCCTGGTTTGTGTTTAAGATGTCTTGTGAAAAAAATGAAGCACGACGGGGTCATGATGGTTATCCAAAGAGCCATCATGAATTTGATGGAATGTTGAAGAAGAGATTCATCCTGATTTTCGAAACGACGGGGAAGTTTCATGAAGTATCCCTGAAATCAATGGGAAGTATCCCTTACATACGCCTTACATAGGCCTTACATAGGCCTTATATATGGTAGGTACCTTAAATCTAGAATCCTAAAATGGCCATTGATGAAATACCAGAACTAAAGCTACGGCCCTGATAAGTCATTTCATGTAGCCGTGGGGCCTAGTGGGCCTGGCTGTTCGCAGAGGCCTAGGAGTCGTCCCTGGTCGTGTCGAATTGTAGCATGATTCAACATGTGGATATGTGGGAAATGTGCTGTATTCGCCCAACAAAATCAGGAGATTGTTGTGTTTCATCATGGGAAAACGATGTTCATGAATGTTGATGATGTTGAGGATGTTGATGATGTTGAGGATGTTGATGATGTTGAGGATGTTGATGATGATGAGAATGATGATGATGATGATGATGATGATGATGATGATGATAATGATGATGGCGATGGTGATGGTGATGGTGACGGTGATGGTGATTATATGATTATATGATTATATGATTATATGATTATATGATTATATGATTATATGATTATATGATTATATGATGATGATGATGATGATGATGATATCATTATATCATTATATCATTATATCATTATATCATTATATCATTATATCATTATATCATTATATCATTATATCATTATATAATTATATCATTATATTATTATATTATTAATATATTATATTATTATTAGATTATTATTAGATTATTATATTGTTATAGTATTATTGCTGGTCTGTCCTAAATTTGCATGCAGAAAACAACACTGAGCAACTCACTATGACTTTCCGCAACCAACTCCACCATCCTGGTGGCACCTGCGAGAGTTTCACCATCATCTCATCCCACCTGTCACGGCAGAACAAGATGTGAATTTCGGGATTTAAGCAACACAAATAGTGATCATAACGGGCGTGATCATGGGAATGGATTATATGTACCTGGATAAACTATCAGATTTCACCAAGTTCGACTTTTTCATGGTTACCCCTGACAGTCACCATCATTCAACGGCGGTACAATGTCTCCAGAACAAAGGAGGGAACATTGACTTTGTGACTGAAATCCATGGCTTTTGTGGGAGCACAGAGCAAACAATCTCAATACTCACATCAAAGGCAATGGTGTAATTACAGTAATGCTTACTTGCAAGGTGACATCCTCATTCTTGTTGCTTAATCGACATCAAATAACTACGAATTTATCCAAATCTTAAATTTACAAGCCGGAGATATGTGTATACATTATAATTATACGTAACCCATCTACAACCTGTCAATCTGACTATATTACGTAATGTTCCATTATAACTTGGCTTTAATATGCCTTACCAGCCACAGTAACCATGCCTGCTGGGGGGTGGGACTAACGGGACTAACCATTGGATGATCCTCCCAGTTCTTTTGAATATAAACCCATGAAAACACCCATGAACTAGTATAACTAGTTCGATCTAATGATATAATAACATATAATATCTATTCACTACTGAGTTCGATATATATATATATATATATTCTATATATATATACATATCAATAAACGCAACAGTTCGATATATCTATTCACTTATACCAAAGAGTGAGCTACTTCACCAGATCCAATCCGCGTCCGCGCCTCCTGTCCTGGAAGGGCAAGGCATCAGTTGCGGGGCGGCGCCAGGTGACGAAGTCCAACTCCAGCGTTTCGAAGAAGGGGAGGATCCTCGACCCGTTTGGGCAGCCAGGGCAGCTGGCGACTGGCGACTTGTCCGTTGTTTCCCATGGTTTTGCCAAACATGGAGAGTTAAGAAACATGTTTGGCCAAATATATCTGCAGATTATATGTCACTAAATGTCACTACTAGTAACCTCAATAGTTGGGCCATTTGGGGATTCCCCATATATTAACCATGATGAACAAGTGATGGAGAACAGTGAGGTCGTTGGATCACCTGAGGTCGGATTGAACTGATTGAAGTCAGAAATTCATGCGATGTCACCATCGGAGAAAGAAACCATGAGATCTATCTGGAAAAAAATGTGATAAGACATCCGAAAATGGGTTTAACGGTTTAACTCACAACAATTGAGATCTAGGTGATGACACCATCAAGAACCGGGATTTAATTCATTCAAATAAGGGTTTAACATGATTGAAGCATTATAAAAGTGGGAATGGGGTTTTAGCCCACAACACGGGGATTTTTTTCAGATGAAGAGTTGACTGGATTAACCATGAAATGTGGATTTCACCATAACAACAAAACGAGGGTTCACCATCGCAAAACCTTGGTGGTTTGGTGATACCCTTCTAAAAGCAGAAGTATGGGTTTAAGATGGTTTAAGAACATCAACCGCGCGTCTACATGTGTACCATCAAATTCTGTCTTGAAAAAGGTGTTTTAATCAACAGTCCATCGGGATTGACAACCAATCTCAACAGCGACTTGGAGGATAAAAAAAATGACTTGTAGCGTGCATCAATCATTGGCATGTTCACCAACGTAAAAAAAGAAGTCAGCAATGTTTTCAAACATCCCAAATTGTGGCTCAAATCAGCAAAATTGTCAAGACATGGAGATTTAATGCATTAGAGGTAGATGTTCGACCAGCCAATACAAAGAACATTGTGTATACGCATAGTACACGTACAGTTTTAGTACAACAGTATCTTAGATTCAGAAATTTTCGGGGTCAAAACCTATATATTTAAATTTATAGAGCCTTTATATATTCACATCCATTCACTCCTCGCTATGGCTTCGGGGTATCTAAATCCATCTCGGGTGCCTCTCCAGAGATTAGCCGAGCTGCCAATCGGCCAAAGAGGTCATCAAGACGTTTTGATGCGTGCAGTTACGCACCTGGACGACCGGATTGGCAAAACATGAAGGTTTAGTTGAGTTTCTCAAGGGTTGAAACAATGGTTGGTAAAACATGGTAAAACATTGCTTGGTGAAACACTGGTGATAGAAACCTTCACTCGGTGTTTTTTCAAACAATGGTTGAAACGGTCGCACATTTTTGGGTGGTTAATGATGGTTTATGCTGGGGAACGCAGAATCATATGGCATCATATGGCCACTTGAATAGCTAGCAGCTAGCTCAAGTCCCTGGAAGCAGGTTTCGAGCGGTTTCTTACCACGTTTCATCCCAACTTCAAGAATTCAGAAACATCCCCAATGTAATGTGGTAAACCCAAAAGCAAACCACTCCCGATATGACAAGAAATGGTGGCTGTAAACCATACAAAATGATATACAAAATGCAGATTTATTCGTAGGCTTGTCACATTCACAATGGATTGACATGGACAATAAGCAGTATATGTACTGCACCGTACCTGAAACAACCAAAGACATTATAATAGGCATTGATGTGACACTCTTGTTCAGATCGAATTCCTGTTGAACCTCAGGAATTCGAAAAATGTCAGGACGCTTCAAGTTGACTTTTTACAAAGATATTTCAACTGATAGATGATTAGATGGATATATCATAGTAAATCCACCAATCTATGGATTCCATCAAATACCCTGCGGATCCCTCAAGCGTGGCTAATTTTCCCAGTTCTAAACCTCCATTTCCAGGGGATTTTCCCAGCAAAGAAAACCTCGGAACCTCGGAACCGGGCGTCCGGACACTGGACCAGTTCCCGTACCTTGGACATGGGTCCCAGGTCGGATAGGATGATAGGATAATAATGGAATCTACAGATTGGTACAGTAATGGTATAGTATATAATGTAGTATAATGTAGTATGGTAATATATGTGTATATATATATTATGATATTGTATATAATGTATGGTTTTATAATATCTTATAATGTTTTATATAGACATCCCTATGGCTATGGTCACTGGGTATACCTTGTAGCTGTGGATAACCTGGGAAATTCACAAAAAGTTTTGACTCTGGAGGCATGGAAGCGTCCTGAGTCATTGTACCCTAAATCATCCAAAAATTGATCATTTTAGTATTGAAATCTATGCTGGTTGGTGGTTTGAACCATCTTGAAAAATATTAGTCAACGGGAAGGATTATCCCATATATTCTGGAAAAAAAATTGTTTGAAACCACCAACCAGATATGGTTTTGGGGATACACCATTTTAAGACACCTCTATATGAATCTAGAGTTTTTTCGATTCGTTAGATGCACACCCCAGTTCGATGAAATTCTGGATGTTCACCATGTCCTATTCTTTCTGATGCACCCGAACATACAGGGATACCACATCTCAACCGTGCCAAAGTCATCTTTGAAATCCCAAATGGAAAGATGTTTGTTCAAGGCAACAGTGTTCAAAACCCTCTGTCGTTCTATTTATAGTGGTTGCTTAATAGGGATTCCCATAATGGATTATGATAATCCGCAAATTACTGGGTAGTATAACCCCTATAATCTTGAACCAACAAGGGTTTTGAACACTGTTCAATATATCACCATGTTTGTTTCACAAACCTTCTGAATCTTTTAGGATGACCCTACTCAGATTGCATGAAGTTCTTGGATGAAGCTGTCAGTAAAATGGGCCCCGGTCCATGTTCTTGGGAAGATCTTCCAATTATTTCCAATTGAACCACAGGCAAAACAGAAGCAATCATTCAACATAACACATCTGATATACATGCAAACAAAAATGACCGAATGTAAGCTCCCAGAAATCTGTGAGTTTCATATGTTTGGTCAACGTGTTCAATCCCATTATATATATATATACATGTTCATGATATGCCCATCAAAACTCCATGTTATACCACCAAATATTCCTTGTTTGTTGGTCAGTTCTTTTTATGTGATGATAACAAAGTCCAGTTTTTGTTTCTGTGAATTCACCATGTGTATTGGTTTTGTGCCCTTATGTATTCCAATTGTTTGATTGTTAAATCCCAGTTTTAAAAAAAAAAATCATGGTTACAGGTTTTTTCGATTAAATTGATTAAATATTTTTTTGGTTGAGAAAAACACTTCAATTAGATAAATCCATGTTTTTCTTGGTAACCCTCCAGTAAACGTAGGATTGCTATGAATATCCGTGGGTTTCCCGTTCGGAAACCATCTACATGGTGGACGTTCCATGTCTATGTGAGTTTACTGGCAGGTAAATCACCTAATTAATCCTAATTAATTGGTTCACACACATCACAATCTATCTTCTCCATCATCTAGGATGGCAGTACCCACAAATTAAAGGCTCAGAGATTCTTTGCTCATTAAAAATTTTAAGTTCAATGTGTCCTTCGTAAATCACCATTTTTTGTTGCTTAAATCACCATTTTTGCTGATGAACTCGCCACGTTTGTTGGTCAACCACTGGACCTTCCAGATGCTGGGCCCCCCGAGCTGCGATCGATCTTCCAGGTTCTGCTTCCGCGCCACGGAGGTTTCCCAGGCATCCAACCTGGCAGTTTCGATCAGATCGATACAGAATTATGTATATTATGTATTAATCTATATATATATATGACCAGTCATAATAGTATTAGACATATATACATAATACGTACGAATAACAACAATTAGATATAACGGTTCCATAGTATATATATTATTATATTATACTATATATATTATCATATATCATATATTATACATTATATATATATATTAATCTATATTATATATTATACATTATGTATGTGTATATATACACATATATATATTATACATTATATATATATATATAGATCAATCTATATTGTAATGATATCATATAGATAACCTGGTCCTTGGCTCCATGGCCCTCCCCCCAAAGCTTCCCCCCCCAACCTTCCCAAAATTATTCCATTTTGACATGCCATTTGCCGCTCCATTTGCACCAAGTGATGCACAATCTCAAGATGCGGAGGCTCAGATGCAATAACTATCACCCCCCTGCCTCCATCCCCACCACAGCCACACCACGGCGGATTTTAGAAACGACTCACATATGGCTTTCAGAATCTGAAAAGTTTACTGTAAATGCATCAAAATGCGCCTTGGGTCCTTGTCGGTCCCGGAATGTATTTCTGTTCAACTCAACCATTGGATTTTGGGGGTACTGTACCCTAAATTCCGACAAAGCCATATGCATCTGTTTATTCTGCATGGTTGATTAGCCTACCCTTCGCCGGTTGATTGAAACAAATTGTAGACACACACCAGTTTGTGCTGATATGAGGTATATGTACTGGTTCCAATTTATGGCCATCTCTTCCTTTGGAAAGAGGCACTGTTTTTCTAAACCATGGGACGCTTTCTGGGCACCTTGTTTTCAGACAAACCCAAGCAATCCCTTGCCTCTATTGCTGATGAGTATATTCCTAGCCACTAGTCACCTGCTAATCTATACATGAACCAAGGTGTACCCCCTAAAGCTTTTTCAAACGGGGGATTGATTTTCACAGTCACGCCCGACTTTGCTGACCCAGCACTCCATTGGTACCCACATGGTAGGGATTTTGGTAAACTATTGCTATTTTTGTCAAAACAAAATTAAATCCCCTCCTGTTCACACCAAAATAGCTGGAATTTCTGAATGTACCCCTCCAAATGTGAGAAACAAAGGGTTTTTGACCCATCACCATATGGTAAAATTACACCCCAAACGTGGCCAGAGTTTCCATTCTCCCCACAGTTTGGAGCAGGTTCAGGGCCAAAGGACATCTTCAACATCTCTGCCACAGCATAGTCTGTGGGGCTACGGAGGTCCAAAGAGTAACGCCTGATAGGAGCCCAACAGCGGCCAATTCATGGCATGGAAGAAAACTATGGAAACATATGTGAAACGATGAGATGAACCGACCCCAAATATGGATAAAGATGGGGACATGTTTGAACAAAACAAAAACTATGGGGGTTCATCTTTGAAAACATGGGGGGTTGAAGCTACCAAACAAGTTCAAAAGGATGGTTTTGAACCAACACATGTAGGGAAATTCACGAGGCAAAGTCATGGTTTTGACTTCTACATAATCAAAACATGGGGGTTGAAGAAAAAGACATGGGTTAAACATGGGGAGATGTCAACAAATCAAAACTATGGGGTGCAGCTATTGACTGTAAACAAGAAAAAAACGGCTTTCAACAACAACCAACAATGGGAAGTTGAGCAGCGTAAATAGTGTTTGATACAGCCACGTAAAAAATGGGTGTAAGGTGTGTGCGACAACAAAATGCGGGATAGTAACAAATGTTTTCTGTGTTGCTGAAGACATCAGTCCAAGTTGCTCTTCAGTGGTGGCTGTATAAAAATAATGAAATGAGAGGTAGGAAAAGGCATGTATATATATAATTATATATATAATGGAAGCCAGAATGGCTATGTCAGAAGGGAAAGCGTGGACTTATGATCACAGAGATCACTGATCAAACATGTTGGGTCCTCTCCCATCCTTACATACAAGCAGTATTTACATGTATTTACCCACCATATGTGTACCCAAGGTATATCATTCCAAATACAAACTGTTCATGCGTTACATGTCAATTTCATCGCGAGGATCATGCATTCATAATCAAGTATCAATAATATATAATCATGCATATAATAATATACACATACAATCATATAAGTATAGAGTTATATGCAAAAAAAACATAGTTATACGTATCATACGCACATTCGCCACCCATCATCGCCCCACCCATCGCTCAACTCCGACCCTGTAGGACTGTCTGCGTTGAACACGAAGAGCCTGGCTTTTCGAGCCAGCTGGAGCGGCTTATCCTTGAATATTGAATATCCTCATACTTGTCAATTATGTGTATGTATATATGATGTCATGTGTGTAATATACATGTGTGTAAATATATAATATATGTATGCATGTATTTATACCTATAGCAAATACATATATGCGTGACTCATTATATATATACTGTATATATATAATCATATCAAAGTATGTTATATATTCATAAAATCAACATAAATACATATATATATATATACATATATATGTACACATACATACATTACATTACATTACATGACATGACATTACATTGAATTACATTACATTACATTACCATACATACCATACCATACCATACCATACCATACCATACACCATATACCATACCATACCATTACATTACATTACATTACATTACATTACATACATCACATACATCACATACATAATGTAACAACTAGTTTTATATAGCAATGCAATGGCATACATGCATTACATTACATTGCAGTGCATTAAATTACATCACAGTACAGTACAAAACATAACATAACATTACATTATGTATATAGACGTGCATACCAATAAGGGAATTTTACTATGGCTTACTCAAAGAACAACGCCCCAAATCGAAATACAACGCCAATGACTCACCATGTCCAACATCGGATTTACTACACTATAAACTGACCAAATATTAGGTATACTTTGCAGAGCACAGTATGCAACCCATGTCGTTCGTGGTTTTCGAATTTATATACGTTCATCCTTCACATAAAGCAACTTGATCCTTCCATTTCTGTAGATTAACTCTTGAAACTGCTGAGGTGGACAGGTTCCCCGAACTAAATGGATATAACAATGGTGGTTTAGACCTTCATATTTGGTGCTGCAAAATTCCAAGTGTTTTCAAACGTGGGAAATACCCGAACTTTTTATGGAGGTTAGTTCGGTGGGAAAATCATCAACAAAAAACCAGGCCTTTCGCAGCGTTTGTAGACCTGCGCCCAACAGTTTGCAATGTCACGTGATGCCAGATACGTTTTGGGTAAAAAAAACAGAAATCACCTACAGTGAATGAACCGACTTCCTGTCAGCATCAGCAACCATTGACCTATCGGACCTATCGTAGGTTGGAGCGTGAAATTGTGGGGAATCTCGGAACAGGCCTTTATTCTGTTATATTCTGTTCACTTTTTGGCATACCCAGGATTTTGATCCATTCACAACCCACATATTTCTGGGCGAAATCCACGTAGGGGTCGCATGGGGGATACCCCAATTTACGGCCATGCTACAGGAATTCATGTCAGAAATTACATAGTATATAAATGCATATAAATGTATATAAATGTATATATATATACATATATGAGCAATCTCGAAAACCCTAGGTTCACGGAAAGGACATCCACAAATTTGGGAAGGTCCCATCGCTTACCACATGTCTGTACAATAATGATATACGGTAACCTTGGGGGGTATCGCTTGCAGGAAACTGCTACATTTATATATATAATTCACATACATCAACGTCCAGTTTGGGTATCGCTAATTTGGGAAGATCCCATCGCTTACCGTGTGTTTGTAACAATTTCCATCAATTTCTATAAACCAATGTCCGTCCAATACATAGGTAGTATTGCCGGGGTTTTTGCAGTGGCTCATATAATTATATACATATATCTGGGTAAATTATAATATTTCACCAACCTGAATTAAGGCCATTTGGGGATGATTCCCCTTATTAACCATGATTCCCAGTGAGGTCGCAGTGAGGTCGTTATAATTCACCCAGATACATGTGGTTTTTTTCCCAATTGGACCAGATCCAGTAAGGATGAAGAATCGCCATCTTGGATTCAACTCACCGCCATCTTTGGCAGCAAATGACGTATCACTGGTGGGTTTTTTCCCGGTCCAAAAAATCAACCAGACGTCTATTCTTCAGCATTCAGAATTTTGAATGTTTAGTTCCAATTCTTGATAGCCCATGTTTTCTCTTGGTCAAATCGTCATTGTTCATGGTTAAATCACAACTTTTTGTGAACATATCCATGGATGATCATGGATGTATCTTGTCTGCCAACAGCACAGGTTGCTTTCACCATCCACCTTGATGTACTCCCGCAGCCGTGGCAGGTGAGTCAGGGTCTGGCAGGAGTGGGAGATTCAAAAATCACAGGTTTGATTGGGCTTAATAGGGATTTTTTGGGGTTAGTAATTGATTGATATAGAGGTTATTACAATCCTTAATAAATCTCAACAAGGTTTAGTGATCCCCTATTCAAGGAGATTGGCCCAAAATTATGGAGACGTTGGGGGCAATAATCAGTTAGTTATTACACTTACTAACTAAACCTTATCTGTATTGGATGTCATAAGAAAAGAGCGTTAACTCACCATATTTATCAATTATTAAGGTTTCATAAGGTTCTTAAACACCAATATGATTGCGCGGGGTGCTGGGGGGTACGAGGGAATAGTTCGGTCTATGCGATGTTTTTTTTTTTGCGAGCACTGGAAAGATTTCACATATATTAAGCTATTGAATTGATTTGAGAAATCTAAATATATTTAATATATGTCTGTATTTGAAACATAAAATATATTGAATATTATCAAAATATATCAAATACATTAGATAAAGACAGCATGACAGATGTCCATTTTCCAGAAGTAATTACAGATTAAATATGTTCAACATATTGACTATGGTTCTTCATTATATTCAATTATTTTTAACATGTTGTTTATCTAAAATATCAAATCATCATAAATCATCGAATACTCTAAATCGAGGAATATTTTACAAACTGTCATGTCCGGAAATAAATTCAAACTATATTGAATATGAGTGAGATCAACTTATATAATACTCAATGTAGTATTGTTCTTTATCCAAAATAAGTACCCTCTAGTTATTTAACATAGCTATAGAAAATGGTCGATTTATCGATGATTTACCTGTATTGTCCTATTAAGAATGGTGGTTTTCCATAGCTATGTTAAATAACCAGAGGGTATATTGAATTCTTAACCCAGCAAAGTTGGGAACCAAGACTCAACAAGGAGTGAGTTCTGACATGGGATTCAAGTGCCGAAAATAGATGTCCATCCTTTATAGACATACCGGCCCGGACATACCAGCAATACTGGGCCAAAAGAAAGATAGAAAGTAACTTACCATCCAAATAGTCGTTATTTTCTGTCTTTTGGTGAAAGCATACGATCTTGGAATGCACCAAACAAATGATGGTGCCTTTACCCTCACCCGTCGATTTTCTCACTATGCAGGACCGGACCCAGGTGATCCAGGTAGTAAGAAGTGAGAAACCATATTAATTGCCATACCATAATGATCCATCATATGCGATATATGTAGCTATACCCCAGTTGACAGCCACTGGGTCCCGCCAGGCCCCCCGACGAGAAACAAACGCACTTGCGACCTGCCAAAAAAGGCTTCGCGACGTCGTTGAGATGCCAGTTTGAGCATCAGATCGTGCTGGTTGATCCTCTACAAACCTTTCGTTTTCGTGGGATAAATGGCAATCCCATCTGATCCGAAAAAGGCAAGGCACATATAATTGTATGGCTACAAATCCGCCAGAAAAAGTCAACTGTTTCCCTTCATGAGGCAACTTCCTCCCAGAAACAAATGGTGAAGAAATGCACTACTACAGGATCAACGGCAAAAATGCAAACATATTATATATAATATATATAATATATTATATATATTATATATATTATATATATTATATTATATATAATATATAATATATTATATATTATATATTATATATTATATATTATATATCATATATTATATATTATATTATATATATATTATATATTATATATATATAGATATATAGAATTATATATACATAAAACATCCGGGAATGCTCCCGAGTATACAGTGACCCATACAGTGTACTAACCTCCCAAAATGGCACTCCAAGGATACTCCTGGGGACTCAACCGGCTTCCAACCAACAACGCTCGGTTCCAACGTCGCTGGGCTTAAGGACGAATCGTCCGGTGTCTATAGTCGGCTTCAATCCCCAAATATACCCTCTGGTAATGACTAACATAGCTATTGAAAATGGCCATTAATAGTGGATTTTCCCATTAATAGCATGGTGATTTTCCATAGTTACGTTAGTTTACTGGAGGGTATCAACAATATCAACAATATCGAGCACAATTGACTAATTATTGATCAACGATAATTCACTATATAATTGTCTCAACCATAATTCGGTTGAATCATGATGAATTCCCCAATTGATTCAATTTACCGTGGCTGGAAATCCATCCTTTCGTTTGATACTTGTCCCAGCTATGAACCTCCATTTATAGTGGACTTTTTCCTATGTGTTCCCCATATTTTCCTGTGATTTCCCCATATGTTCCTTCATGATTTCCCCATTCCCCCTATTTTCCTATGATTTCCCTGTGTTTTCCCTATATTTTCCTATGACTTCTTTTGATTTTTGCATGAAACCTCCATTTCCTTCACGGATGATCCAGTCCCCATCTCCCCACCTCGCAACGCCCGCGACAAGGAGGCACAAAGTGTCGATGCTGTTGAAGGAGTCCTGGATGTCGAAGCACCAGGCATGACATTTTTTTTCAGTCATGGTGATGATTGAAATATATAGAGGATAGAATAGTGTATAACTCAATGCAGAATCAACAAAGGCCAACTGAACACTGCTCAGGTTGTTGTCTGACTCTGCTATCGATATTTATAGATCATTATTACGTATTGCCATTAAACTATATTATACTACTCTCAACCGTACTATCATGAAAAATTCCCCCCTGTTTGGTCCTCGCAGATGATGGACAGAAAGTCATATTCCAAGCTGAAGTCACTGGACAGCGCGTCCTGGACGTGCATTTGGGATTTCGGTGGCTGTGACTGATACCACGTTGACACGGCCATGTTTCAGTCGCATGAGCACCCCGCTTTTGCATGCTGAGCCATAGCATTTGGTCGCCAAGAAGCCAAGATCAGCTTCTGCTCGTCGGAGCGACCCTTCAGGCCTTACGTGTCCAAGGAAATGCCCTGGTAGGACGAGGAATCATGTGAGCCACGTGGATCTTGAACAAAATTTGGAATGTTTGGATACTGACTGACCAATAAACAGGAAAACATGGGGATGCATGCATGCAAAACATGGGGGTGTTGTCCAACACAAAATATGATTGCATATGATTGCCCAAATAATGAGCCTAATCAGGGATTGAAAGGAAACACATACTCTTCACATTTGGAAACACCTGCGGTTCCATGCAATAAGATCGCTGGGGTCATGGGTATAGCGCAAAGATAAGGCCCCAAAAAACCAACGCTTAGCATCAAACCAATCTCATGGTCCGGCGTTTTTTTCCAGACAGTGTAGCTCCAATGCCCAATTCGCGGTGGATTTCCTACTATGATTATGACACATACTGTCAGCTGGATAGCAAATTCCTGCTGAGAATCTGCTGAGAACAATGATGTCCTTCTGGGGATTTCACGGGTTAACCCTCAATCGATCAACCCGAAAAGGACACCGGGGAGTAAGGAGAGTGGAAGAGTGAAGCACTTCGGCAATATTCAGAAGTTAGTTCAAAGGGAGTTACTGTACCTAAGTTGTTCCTCTCCCACTTCAACAATTATCCAACTTCAGAAATGGATTACCCGACATATTCTCCAAGCAGTGGCTACATGTTTTGAACCCTAGGACCCTAGGAGAATGAGCATCCCATTCCCATTCCCCTTCGCCACATCCGCGTCGAGCAACTTCGGAATTGTGCCAGCAAACATACCACCTCCGGTCCGGTCGTGTCAAGAATAAAATGTAAAAGTTTTTTGTGAATGAATTAATTCATGTATATATATATATGTATATATATATGTATCATTTATTTATTTATTTATTTATTTATGTATTTATTTATTTCTTTATTTATTTATAATATACACATAAATATACAATAATATACATAATATATATACATATTCTGTAGTAACCCCGAAAACAGATAGTACATTTTTGTAGGTACTTTTCTATCTTTCGATTTCTATAATTTTACAAGAACCCTAACTTGTCAAACCCTGAGAATCGATGTCGGCATATATAGATCAAAAATAGCAATGTAGTCAAAATACAGCGACATCTACGTTAACGCTTGATTTTGGTGACATTTGTCGGAATCTGTCGGAAATCCAACTGATTTTGTCGGAAATTGATGAAAAAACGCAAACATCCTTTGTTTCGAAGATGCGCATGCGTGTTGATCATGGCCATATGTACTGTAGTTCAAAATCGTGACAAATCGTGACGAATCATCTTTTTGCCACTTAAAATTATGACATTTGTCGGAAATACCGTGACAAAAGGTGATGAACCGTGATCTCTTCAGGATTGACCCCTCATCTTATATCAGCCCCTGTTACTTTTCGCTCGTGCTCACTGCATTTATGGTTCCCGCAAATGTTGCCAATTTTTGGCTACGGACGTCAAATAATGCATACGGACGTCAAAAAACAAGGTTTACCGCAAATGTCAGCAAATAGACCCAGCATTTGATTCACAGGGAAAGATTCTTCAATCCTTCTGACCCCCAATGAATTAAACACCCAATAAATGGTCCCAAATATGTCTAAATCCCTTACTAAACTATGGTTTCTGAGGGTTGTTCAATATCAGGGTAAAGGGATTAATGTGGGCAATGATCCACAGCCTGGCACGAAGGCCTGAACCTATCAATGGTTAGCCGGGACTTTTCCAAAGATGTTTATTCATTGAAAATAACGCGAAGTTGTGATTCAATTCCCCAGTTGATATCCATTCATATTATTTCGTGTAGTATCATAATATATATATATAATATACATATATATTATATATAATACATGTATATATATAATATGCACCATAATTACTTATGTTGCTGGTCAAATTCAAATACCCGGTGTTGATTATTAATCGCTAATTTTGCTTGTTCTATCACCACTTTACTGGTTGAATCACCTTTTTTGCTGGTTACACATGATTGAACCATGTTTAAATCATTGTTTTTGCTGGTTAAATTGACCCCTCAGTGTCCACATTCTTCGGGCCTTTCGGAATGTGAGCTTTGGCCGCAACAAGGCCTTTGCGAACGGTGTCCAGTGTCCAGCTGGAATCTTGCGGGTGCAAGCTGGGGTTATTACCCTCCAACCAAACATGGCCAGCTGAGAAATCTTGGAACTATATCCACTCTATAAATGGAGGTGTCAATGGGAAACTTATCTATAAATGATGGATGTTCAATTGCCATGTTTCATTGCCGGAGGGTAATAGACCCACCTGGAAAAAACATCGAACTCAAATCATAGCAATTAAAGTAGTGGATGATCCATTGCCACGTTTGATTACCAGAGGGAAATGGGTAAAAACAATGGCAATAGCCCACATATGTTTGGATATATACCCGAATGGTTACAACATGTTACAACATGTTGCAACCATGGCTATATATTCCATTGTCTTATGTCCTTGTATCCCCATTGCATACAAGAACATCAGGACACAAATTTAAATGAGTAGTGTTTTTTCATGTTTTTTCTATCCGTGTCTTTCGATGACCAGTAATAATATAACCTATGCAACTGTCTACGCCGAGCCTACGCCATTGCATGAGGTATCTTCTTTTTGTGTTCAATTTTGGCATGAGGCTTTGGAACCAGAAGGCACAAATATCCAACTAACCAAGGCAAAATGATGAGTTCAAGCTGTTGCCAACGAGTGTCTACACAAAGCCTACGCGGTGTAGGCTAAAACGAGCCTATGTACGCCAATGCCTATGCAACCTACGCCGTCTGCATGGGAGCCTACACAATGGGGCATAATATGTCTTGTGGAGTTCCCACTTTATCTACTTTTCTGCATTCAGCAACAAAAACGTAAAACGCTACTCAAATGTGCATACACATATCCATATATGATGGCTTAATCATCAACCAACTGATGCGTGTAAAAGTGCTCGCAAGGGTTTGTCATAGGGTTCCCTCAAATCCAGTGACTAATCATAATGTTCCTTGTGAGAATGTAATTCACCCAAGAATCATAGTACTTCTACTGGTTGGTGGTATACCTACCCCTCTGAATGTCAGTTGGGATGATTATTCCCAATATATGGAAAAAAAAATGTTCCAAACCACCAACCAAATATAATATGTATGCGTATATAAACATCATATCCTCATCATATCCCCTGAAAATATCCGAATTATCGAATTATATCCCCACAAATTGTTGGGTACACATCCCCATGATTGCTGCTTAAACCATCAAATTATATCCTCATCACATTCCATTACATCCCCATAAGATTGGTAAGCTAAGCATAATTTCCCCATATATCACTCATTAATTTCGCTAAATATTTTGTTTCCGGCCTGTTACAAGTTGAATTCTTTTGTATATACTGTATATATATATGTAGTTATTATATCTAAATTTTGAATTGTCAAAAAAAAACATCAAAACTCCAAGGGAATGGCTGGGATGTTCCTTAAAATCCGTAGCTTTCGGTGACCTGTCGCCGACATGTCGCCAAGCTACGAAGTGTCGATCCAGGTAGATCGAGGCCAAGGGCCGTGGACCGCGAAAGCTGCGCAACCGTGGCCGTTATTTTTTGGGATTTTATCAGTGTTCTGTTCTGGGGGTGCTATAAATATGTTATATATATATATATACGTATATATATATATATATATACGTATATATATATATATACATATCATATAAATATATGACATGTCTTTTGTACGGAAATTTGTGTAGACACACAAACATCGGTGTAGACACACAAACACAAACCTCATGAAATCATGAATGATTACGTGTACCTGGACCCCAAATGAGCCATATGTTGAATGGTCAATCCTTGATTTTGTGGGTCAAAACTGTCGATCAAGAGTAGTATGAATTGCTAGTTACATTGAATTTTAATGTATGTGTACATATCTATATGTATACATATACAGCAGGCAGGCTTGTGTGCATCAACATGATCTACGTGTGGATTTGTCATGCTAAGCATGTCATAAGCACATATATGTGTATGTATGTGGGAAGGAACGCACATGTATAGGTCTGGATCATTCTAGATCAATGAATCTTCAGAAAATACATGAATAAATAAAATATATGTATCTAAATTGTCGATGCTGTCAATGTAGAGACGTGCGCACATTCAAGTGGATATGTTATATAATATGTGTATTGTACATATATATATATATAGTTATATCTGCCTGTCTACTAATCATGGGTTGTAATGACCCAATTGTAAGCCCATATAACCATCAAACATGCAGAGCTTTCAACATTCCCGAGATGGGTAATATGTATGTATGTATGTCTGTATGCATGCATGCACGCATGTATGTATGTATGTACGTACGTACGTATGTATGCATGTACGTAGGTAGGTATGCATGCATGCATGCATGCATGCATGCATACATGCATGTATGTATATGTCTAATATGATTATATAGTATATGCATGTATATATATATACATATCTGTAACTTGTTGCAAATACATGCTGCAGGCTGCAATGCTATCGCTCTCCGCTGGGTCAAAGAGAGGGTTCCCGCCTGCCGTCTAGGCCTTCGCCCTCCGGAACCAAAGCAGCGCGCGCCTCATCCGAGAAAGTCGGAACTTGGGCATGCATCACAATTGGGAAGTGGTTGATAGCCCATTCATATGTATATATATATATTACAATTATGTATATATATATTATACATAATTATATCTATATATATATATACATAATTCTAATATAATATATATTACTGCTCAAAGAGTCACTCACAATACTACTGTAATGAAAGCATCGTTCACCGATGCTACTCTACAGAAGCGTGTGCAGTGACCCCAAAGGAAAAGGAGGGGAGCACACGGCAGCAAAAGGTATCTAAAGGGGAGCTGCATGAATCAGTACCACCAAACAAAGAAAGAAGAAGAAACGAGCGCCATGGTAGCGTCGTCCTGCTATACGCTCAGCAGAAAGCTAACGGACGGAAAATGGTGGTGGAGAGGCAGCCCCTGAATTATAGAAAGGAAAACAGAAAACCCTGGCCCCCGCATCTCACTGCAGCTCAAAGAATGTCACGAAGGTACCGCTCGGTGCAGGACACGGCCGAGTCGGTCAAAGAGCTTGGAACCGACGGCGAAGAGAGGCCCGCGCCCGGAAAGTGCGGATCGCAACGGCCAGCTCCTGCAGGAGGAGGCCATAGCAGACTGCGGGCTCCTCACCCGAGTGCGGAGCCGCCGCGTGGGCAACATGCTTCAGCACCTTCAGGGCCTCTGGCACCCAGGCGCCAGTGCATTCAGCCACCATGGGCATGAACTTGGCCCCCTGCGCCGCGCACGCTTGAGCGGTGTCCAAGTGGAGTTCTTTGTGCTGAGCATAAGCAGCGGCTGCAGCCCCAGTGTGCCGACTCGCCTGAGCCAAGGTCTCCTGTCGCTGTGGCGCCGTGATGGCGAAATCTAAGGCAACAGGAGACCCGGCAAAGGCGGGCAGGTACACATCGGCTGGCCTTCGATTGGCTTGTCCGGTTTCTTCCGGGTTGCTGGGCAGGAGCAAGCCAGCCTTCTCGCGTTCAGGGCGAAGCCCGGCCGGTTGCGCCCAGCTGTGAACCAAGTCCCGCACCGCATGGTGTCGCTGAGTGCGTTCGCCTCCAGCCACACACATTCCAGCGTGGTGGCTATGGTGATCGAGTACTGCATCGCACAAGGGGCACCAAGTGTCAGACTCGGCGTCGGGTATGCGAAGGCGCACTCGAAGTTCACAAATGAAGGCAGCCGGTTCCATACGCGTGCGGCCAGCAGGCACGGCATATATTATATATATATATATAAAAAGATGTATACATGGAACCCATACATAACATTACATAACTGTGGATTTCTTCAATGTTTACATAATCATATTCTAATCATAGATTCCTGCGTAACTGGGTGAGAAGGGGTTATTGTATGTTATGCACTTCTAAGTGGGTATCGAAGAATCCCCTCCCGAAGGTGTCCGAAATGGGGGGCTTGAATCAAAATTGGATATACCTGGTATATCACCGTCAATGGGAGATAATGGGCGTAATTAGTAAAAGAGCAACTTGTTTCCAGTGTGAAAATAATTGATACAGTTTGGTTGTTAATAAACCGTCTTTAAATGGATAGTCATACTTGTGTGAGCGATATTCCATGGTACTGCAATGCAGCCTGGTTTGAACACCAAAATAGATCAAAATAGCTGGTAAGATGATGCTCATTACAGCGCTGAACAGTATGAATCAACACATCTTGGAGGTTTATTTCCAGCAACAGTTTTGGGGTAGGGGATGGGGATGGAATGAGAATTCCATCGAGGAAGAACGCAAAGGACGAGAATATAGCTGCTACAAGAGGTTTATGCCTGCTGACAGAAATAGATTGGGTTGGTCGGACAATAGATGACATACCCATAAAAGAGACTTATGGGTTATTACCTGGTTTCCTCAGAATTGAAGTTTTGGGGAGATATGCCCAATTTTCAGACACCCCAACATGGCGGAATATAAACATGTCAAACACCCAACAGTGGGATTGCAGTTGGCATGTACTCAAAAACTCAGCACCGGACATTATCGATGCAGAAGCAAAAGCTCACCGTGCCAGTGGTGGGAACTGTGTAGACCTAGATTTGGCATGGATCGATGATCAGTGATCAGTGCACCCTGCTTCCATGGTTTTGCGCAGCAAAATGGACGTGGCTGAAATGGGTATATATTATATATACTAATTAATCAAGTGCATTAAATTGGCAGTTTGAATGGGGAAAACAATGAAAAACCATATGATGTTGTGATACCTTATGTTCAGACAAATCGAAATAGATGGTGCTCAAAAATCTTCATACACCCAGGAAATATACAAAGCCATACCCTCTGGTAATTTAACATAGCTATTGAAAATGACCATAGAAATAGTGGATTCTACCATTAAAAATGGTGATTTTCCATAGCTATGTTAGTTTACCAGAGGGTAAACCTCCATTTTCCTATGGTTTTCCCATGGTTTTCCCATGGTTTTCCCATGGTTCAAAGGAAGGTTCAAAGGATTTGTTTTGCGTTGCCCAGTGTTCACGCAATTCATTCAACCGAACGAAAAAACCTGCGAAGGCCTGATATCTGGCTGGGCAACTAACGTCTGATATCTGGGCAAATTGTCTGTGGGAAAACACCCCAACTCCACGGGAATATCATGGTTTTAACAATATTCAACCATTTTGCGAAATGTCAGATATCATCAGATATCAATATTTTAGGATTCAGTTTTCCCATGAAAATTCCATCTAACCTAACATGGAAAAATTCCCGAAGTGCTAAGTGCCCGACTCCATAGGAATCCTTCCCACTGGGATGTTGGAATCTGCAAAGAGCCAGAGAAATGGAAATGGAGTAGGGATGGTGATATACATACTTTCGCACGTATATATATACATATGATACATGTATATGTTATCCATGTGTATGAAAGTTCGATCAATACCAATCATGACAGGTCATAGTTGCATCATTAACAACCAATAGGTCAAATGATTATACTATAATCCTCCTCCAAAAAATCAGACACCATGTGTTGGGCGGGATGATTTTTGTATATATTGTTTTTCCTTTCTAACCATTATAGGCACCAGAGTTTCATAGTAAGAATTTGTGGCTTGATCCTTACCGGACAAATGACCATCCGGGAATCCGGTGGAATTGAAGTGGATCGATTCATTCGAAAACAGGCGTGGCCGCAGCCGCAGAGGGGTTGGAAACTTCAGTGGATACTAACCATCTTAGATCTTATCATATCTAAGCCAGTTATGGAATATCCCGATATCCCCAACAATATATATATATATATAATTATATAGTTTATATATGGTTTATATAGATTATTATATGTATATCTGGTTTTTATATGGCTTGTAGCTATTCACCACTTACAATGCCGATGCCGCGGTTACGTGCAGAACACGCATCACGCTGCAATCGCGCCTTGGCTCGCTGTTCCTGTGGATGCTGGAGATGGGCCTCAAACATACCTCTGGAAAAACCAAAAAGATTATATGGTATGGTATGTAAGTAAATTTATGATATTTATGATATAATATTATATTTATGGTATGTATATCATATATGATCCATCTCCGATATTTATGATATATTGATATGGTATGGAAATAAATTTATGGTATGAGAATGTATGAGATCTGTCTCCTTTATCTGGAAAAAAATGATCCATCTGATATTGACATTTATAATATATTTGTATGATATTTATATCCTCAAACATACCATAGATGCTCAAGAACATCTGGTGTCTATACCCTCACACATACCATATTTGCCATATCTGTGAAATTTTACATATCAATTTGCTAGAGGGCTTAACCTGGGGGTACGAGTAACACATGAAACTCCCCATGATCTGCATAAAACCCTCTGGTAAACCAACATAGCACAGCTATGACAGCTATGGCCGTTGATTTACCACTGATTTTCCACAGCTATGGCCGTTGACCAACGGGGTATCAGGCCCTATCCGGGTCCAAAGATCCCCCCCAGGCCTCCCAGACGAGGCAGGAGTGTATTGCAACTTCTGAAAGGCCTGGAAGAAGGCGGAAACATCGAAAAATCATGGGAGCATATGCTATACTTATGATGAATCAATGAAGGTAATACATGGTAATACTACAACTCAATGATATGGTTAATACTAATAAAATACTATAATGTACTGTATACATATATATATATAGTACTTATATATATGGTTCATAACGGTTGGTAGTGATTAATGATTGTTGTTCATCCCATCCCCCTAATTCAGAATTGTGGTTTAAGAGGTCAAGAAACCACATATGACTGGGACCATCAACCATGGGTGTGTTCAATATGACCCGGGGTGGGTATGTTCGAGTTGTTTTTACATGTTTTTACTCCATTTGTCAAGTGGTTGAAGGGGAAAAATCATGGTCTCATTCACCAAATTGAGTAGAAACGGCATGCTGCTTGAATTTTCATGAAACATCCAGCAGGAATTTTGGGCATTGACACCTATGAAACCTAGCCAGAAAGTTGATAGAAAACACTGTACCTCTCCTTGTTTCAACAAAGCAGTGATTGAATTTGGGACATCTGCAGTGTACATCTATACTGTATACTGGATATGTATGCGTACTAAATCAATCATATATATATATATACATACATACATGCATAATATATATATATGCTCAGCGCCCCCAAATGGACCATATATACACATAGTTACGTAGTTCTGTATAATTATGTACATGAGCTATCCGCATACATATGTCTTCTTTTCTTCATGAATTTCCCTGCCATTTGCCTGCTGAAAGTCCAGCTTCAAGGTTTCACAGGTCTTGTAGAGTAATCTGAGTAGCGACCGGCTGTGAGGAAGGTTCAGATCCAACCTGGGATGCAGCACAGCGGCGAAGCTGAAGTGCCTTTCGAAGTGGGGGCGTTAAAGCAAAATCAATAGATTTTATATGATTTGATGGTGAAAATTCGAGTGAAACCTAAATCAAGCCTTGGATGGTGGGATGTTTGGATGATGGCTGACGGCTTGGAATGGACGCCAAAAATGGGATACCAGTGGACTCCCAGTGGACCCACCGAATTGACGGGTACAGAACCATCCAACAGTCCGCCGATGAGCACAAAAAAGCCATCCCCACAAGGAAAATCAAGTGAAACCTTGGTCAAATTGCGCGTTTCAGCTTGGTGAAGTACACCATTTTCCCAAAAAAAAGAGAGAAATTGCACTCGGATGCGCTATGTGTAAATACTTGCGTCAACTTGAGCAAAGCATGCGCAAAGTTTGGGGCCCCAAACTTTGCTGTTGACCTATGCATCCCAAAAGCTGGGGGCAGCAGCATTTTGTTGATCAAACCATGGCCAATCTCGCCTGCAGTTTTTTTTCTCGTTTTTGTACTGGTAAGTACATTAGATGGGTAAATCTTGGAACATGTATAACTGACATTAACTTACCATTTAACAGTAGAAAATACAATCACTTCGTTTTCTTTTACCATGTTCCAAGGTGTAATTAGCCAGTCCCATTCTGAGTTCGTATTCCCATTCGGTTCACCCAGACCCCGGCATCGCTGGAAATCCCACCATGACGCGCCTGTAGGTCCCAGAAGGATCCGATGCCTGGTAGATTGGCCGCTCGAGACCTGCCGTGCACAGAAAAAACATCTGGATCTGAAATGATGATTAATGATGGTTAATGATGATTAATGATGGTTAATGGTGGTTAATGATGGTTAATAGTGGATTCTCTGGTGGATTATATTTTTCTATATTCTGGTTGGTGGTTGACCTACCCATCTGAAAAATATGAAAATCAGTTGGGAAGGATGACATCCCATATATGAAATGGAAAAATAACAAATGTTTCAAACCACCAACCAGTTTGTTTCTAATGGGTAGCTTGAAACCAGAACTAGTCCCATCTCTAAAGCCACTGATTATCTAACAGCGCCATCAAAATTTACCAATGAAATCCTCTGAAAGTAGATGGTCTAACTATATATATATATATTGTTTCCATTGCCATGTTCCATCATTGTCCACGGCGTCCACGGCAATATTTTGGAGCGATTACCTGGTTGGTTCCCAGCTCCCCTGCTGAAAGTTGGATCCCAGAGATCTGCGCCTTGGCAGCCCAGGGCCTCCAACAAACGCAGGCCGCAGGTTGATTGACTGAGGAGTCGCAACAAGCACCTGCTCTGAAGGCGCAACGCAGGGGGCCCATCGATATTTCAAGAGCTGAAATGGTTCAGTAGCGTCTATGGGATGTCTATGGTAGATATGCAATAGCACATATACCATATATTATATATATATATACTACCCTCTGGTTATTTAACATAGCCATGGAAAATCACCATGCTATTAATAGGTAAACCATCTATAAATGGGCCATTTTCCATGGCTATGTTAAATAACCAGATGGTAATTGGTTATAAACCAGCTTATGACTGGGGGCCTTCCTGCAAGTTGGAGCTGGGGATCAAACACCATCACAACTGGGGCATGGATCCAGCAAACATAGGTTTCGTAGTGGCTATGTAAATGAGGAAAGCAGTGTATAGTAGTTGATATATGATTGTAATTGTAATCATTACGATTATCACTATGACTGTTGTATGTTATTGTTGTATGTTATTGTTGTATATTGTTGTTATCATTATATGTATATATATATATGTATTATCAATGATTTTATCAGTCTTGTCATCATTACTATCATTGTACATATATATATATATATCATCCATACATTATATCATCCGCGGATAAAACATCCATGCAATCTCCATTGGATTTAAGACATCCAGCCTGTCAGAGAACCCTTCGATCCGTAAAAACCCACGGTGGATCTCTTCGTTTCAGGACATCCCATGACTGGAGGATCATCTCCCATGTCCGTTTGGATCATGATCATTATGATCATGTTGTATGGAGCACTGTTTTCGAATGGAAGTCAAACGATGCCTGCATTGGGTATCTCCAAATGGGATGGCTTCTATCAAAATGACCAGAAGGAGTTGTCCCCACGGCCCGAACATTTTGACTGAAAATCTTGTATCCATTTGTCAAATGGATAGTCACTTGCTCCACAGATCATCCAGATCATCCAGATCATCCAGATCGATTCAGGGCTGTCCAAGCTGTCAAACATAAGCCTTGGGTCGAACTATCAGCTTTCCTAGAAAGTTCCAACCCTGGTTTGCTCTGGCTGGATGTACCCCACCAAGACGTCATTGTCTGGCGCTAAACGTAGGGAACGGGGGAATTGCTTTATCGTTAATAGTGATGGATTGGATCATTCCCCATTCCCTTCTGGTTCTTCAAAAGTCCACTGATGCCTCGGTTGGGAGGTGTTTCAATGGGAAATTACCCAACCAATGGAGGTCACATACCAAACCAATGGGTGCTTTCCCGGAGGCCGAGCGACCGTAAGCCATGGGAGCCCAGAGGATTTTGCCCGATGTAGAGCTCCTCCCAAGCGAGCCATCGTGTACATGGTGCATGATATGTATATTATATACAACATAAATATATTGTACTTAAAAATGTATATATATGTATATATTACACATACATTATATATAATTATACACATACACATAGAGAATTATCTATATATATATATACATATGAATGTATACATATGTACAGATGTGTTTTTTTGACTGACAACACCAGGCAGTGCCTACTGCTTTGGTTTATGTTGAGGATTCCTGTTTCCACATGGGTTTTGCAACTGTTTATTGTTCCGCCTCACCACTGCCCCACATAGACGACAGACCCGCCTTCCCTGGTTTTGGGGCAACATATGGCTATGGTGTATGTATAGATGTGTAGACAGAATATATATATATATTATAATTTGGTAAATCCAAGGCCGTAAACCTCCTCCTGGGGTTGGTTGATAAAACCCTCAAACATTCTATCAAGAAAGATATGTTAAAATTGGGAATACCACGTTCGATTCGATGGGGATTCCAGCTGGTAGATGTGTATCCGGTTCATAGCCCATATCTATATGACTTATGAGTGGGTATAATAAGAAATACATGTTTCCGGGGTATAACCATATGAAGTACTTGCCAGCTGGGATGTGAGTCCAATAGAATAGTGCGCTAGTCATGTGATAGGCGTATCCCCGGATCCCCCGTTATATGACTCAATTTACATGGGTCATTAAATGTCCCCATTGAACATCACCCAACCATTAGGTATATGGTCTATAATGGCTACTATAAGGTGATGTTCAATATTCCCAAAATGGGACAGTTACCAACCCCTGATTTAGCTATGAAATCACAATTTGTTGAGCCATGATTATTGATGGTATACGAATTGTAATCTATGAACAGCCCAAGAAGTAGAATGACTGGTATTGATCTACAGTGTGCACATACCTACATACCTACCTACCTCCATGCCATACCACACCACACCACACCATACCATACCATACATATATAAGTCATAATATATATATATGTGTATGTTATACATAATCATATATATATAACATATATATATATACATTCACATATGACTTTCCCAGAGTATGGTTAAATCACTGGTGTCCTGTGGTGAAAAACCGCTTAATAAACCTCAGGAATCGTGGGTAAAACTATCCCATGTTACTGGACTCACCATAGTATCCTACTTGTAACTGGGGGCTAATCATGCTCCTTAGCAATTTGCATAAAAATGAGGTTTGGTGATAGGGGAATGTCCAAGGGTACCGGCGGTGCTGGGGATGTACATCCCTCAAATTCACCTCGCAATGTCAGAACACATTCCCCAGCAACTATCGCTAATCATTCACATTGCGATAACTTGGGATATCAGACGGATATCATCTTCAAACTCAGCTGAGAATCATATTATGAGTTCATATCCCCATGATATCCTCATGACATCCCCATAAATGGCAAGTTCATCATAATTTCCCCATGTTTTACGTAGTGCTGGTAGGAAAAACCCTGAAATCAGTCTTAGTCACATTCAATCCCAAAATTCCCCGTAATATTCCAATAATTGCATCCCCAGCGAAGCATATTCGTTCCAGTTTACAAATCTCCATTCTGAAGTTTAACTATGTTTATCTCATGTAAGTTAATCCATTATTCCCCCACCTTGGATGTTTGAAACCCTAAAAAATAATGGGATTTTGCCCATCTATCAACTGCTGCAGGATTTCTTCTTCCATCCACAGTCAGGATCAACACATCCTGAAGCTTCGCATGTCTGGCCAGTGAGTCCTGGGGCGAAACGGGTCGGGAGACAAGGGCAAAAGTGTCAGACGGTCACCGACAGATAAAATGATTGGGGAAACACAGTTAGCTACATATACAATTATATACTGTATATATATATAGTATATATATATACAATTATATATATATCGCAAGTAGTAGAGACTAATAGTAGGTCGAGTCTATAATAAGTCTAACTCGGCTTTATGGGCGACATATTTTTGCCTGTAGTTGATGAGGCTTCATCAACCGTTAGTCCCCATAATTGTTCACCCAAAAAAAATGGGTCCCAATATGTGTAGATCCCCTACTGAACCGTGGTTTCTAGAGGGTGTTTAACAATTGAGAAGGGATGATATCCACCAGCAATGGGCCAAAATGTGCCACAATTTTAAATTCAAAATGTGATGATCCCTTGCGATGTTTTTTGACTTTTACGATGGACATCACCCACACGTTCCTCCATGAAACTGGTAAGAATGGAGGACATTGCATGGCCTGATGCCAATTCTGAGAAGATTTGGGCCGGGCCAAGTTCCAGTATTCCTCTCATGTTTGATTATTGGCTTGGATTTCCCCCATCAACTGGCCCCGGTAGACGTCGCAAAAAAGGAGATCAGCGGGTACCAAGGTTGGCTTTGGTCTGAAACTACCCCATGCCGTCCTATGGTTTCACTATACGTGTGCCCCTTGGCTATGACTCAAAATCTTGGTACCCTGGTAAAAAAAAAAAAAAAACTGGTACATGGATCTCGTCATATCATATCTGGTTGGTGGTTGACCTACCCCTCTGAAAAATATGAAAGTCAGTTGAATCAATTGGGATGATTATTCCCAATATGTGGGAAAATAAAAACAAGAGATCACATCATTCCTATACATCAATAAGATATCACAATGTTCCAAATCACCAACCAGATATCACATCTCCCATTCATACATCATTCCTGCGATTTCGTCATGGGCCTCTAGGATCAAGGCCCCGGAGGAGTCCAAGCGATTCATCGAGAGGTCCAACATGCAGAGGCTCGCGTTGCGATAAAGTCCTGGAGAGCATCGGAGAGCTACAGATAGCTGGGCCGAAATCATGGGTTCATTTTTTGGAGGCACTCAAGACCTGGAACAGTTATGGAACAGTTATGCCCTATGAATATGTTGGTGATGACTTTTCCGTCATGTTGAGGCTTCACCGCAAGTATGTTCAGTCTTTTGCTATCGCCCCAGAGGTCTCACTTGCCATAGGTCATGATTTTGTGCAACATATCATGCTGGAGATAGGACAGTGGAACGAACAAACTTCTGCGATGGCTACTGTTGTGTGCACTCAGTTCACCAACAAACATGGCGACTCCTCCTGCGGATGGCCATAAACCTATTTTATGACATTCTAACATTATATTTCATAATGTTTGGTGGGTTATTCTTGCTCCGGACCAACATTCCAGTCTCCAGTCGACCCTGTTCTGACGATGCATGTCAGAATGATCCCCGTGAGGAACACCAGTTCTGTGGGTGATCCCCCAAGCACCAGTTCTGAGTTTTTTCATCAAAAACTCCCCACTTCCTGGCCCATCCGAGGTACCCAGATCGCCAGATCGCTATCCCATCATATCCCCATATTTTCCCATCTGTTTCTCGATAAACTATAAGAATTCACCAACGTGGAAAAATGTTCGGCCATTTGAGGACGATTCCACCATTATGTCAACCATTCCAGTGATATCAATTTTTCCGGAATCCCTGATTGATCGTCATATCACTACCGGTATGATGTATCAATGATATCCCCAGTTGTGATGCTTATATAACTTATGTATATATATATATATTTGTATAAATATAATGTGATATAATGTGGGATTCACCCAATGCCAATGCCACCTACCATGACCGATGGTTGGTTTATCCCCCATGATTTCATGGTGACTTGGGAAATTCCACACCTTCCAGGAAGAGGTGGGTGGAGCTCTCCACGCCGCTGACGCAGCTGTCGCAGTTTGGCATGTGCAGCTCGCGTAAGCGCTTGTGGCTCGCCAGCCTCGGTTGGAAAAATCATGTCTGGTTAGAAAAATAGGGCTTGGATGGGCTTAGCTAAGAAAAACCTGGTGGTGAAAATGAGGATTTAACGGAAATGACGGGTGTGTCGAATGTTTAAGCAGAAAATGTCAAATATATATATATATATGCATATATATAAATGTGGATTGGAACCAACAAAAATGTAGCTTTCCATGTTTTTTTTTTTTACCAGCAAAAACCATGGCAGTACTGTCCTCAAGTTGCACAATTCTAGACCCAAATTTCTGTTGTTTCCATGAAGAGCGTCATGGAACCAGAAGGTTTTGCGTAGCTCCCAGCAACAGCTTGGGGATTTTTGGGGAGACCATCATCACCAAGGAATGGAAAATGGGACAATGCTCCACAAAAAAAACCCTGGTAGGTGGCTGGGGTTTAAAGAAATAACCCATGGACGTTGTGGTGATTCATCATTTTATTTTGATTGAATTCTATCACAATACGTGTTGTTGGCTTGCCAAAAAACAATAGTTCATGTGAATGTGGTTGGCTATAAATAAAATAACATCATACCGTATACTGTCTATATGATTATATACACTGTTCGCCCAAATGTACAAACGCTTCAATATCACAAATGTACACAAACACCACTAGCATCCTTTACCCTTAGGTAATTTAAAATAGCTATGGAGAGTCTTCCATTTATGGACGAGCTATCAAACACGGTGATGTTCCATAATTAGCCATATTGACATTAACAAGGCATACATTGCGTGAGCTATCCAACACATATTTTCAGGACACTAATAACAGCCTGAAATTCGGTTTCCTCCATGGCGTACGAGTAGGAGCTTGATCTATACGTGAAAAAAGTTTCTCCCATATCTACGTTAATTTGTGAACACGTCACACAAAATGTTTATATCATCATGTATAGCATAACGTATCATGAACACGTAATATGAACCCAGGAGTAACAAACCCCTTGTAAAAACTGATTTGGGCAGTAGCAGGTACCATTTAATATTGGGAAATATCACGAAATATTGGGAACCCCGTTTCCAACTTTTCCATCTGGGTGCTAGTCATGGAGGTTTCCGTTTCGTCATGGGGGTACCCCCGAACCATCCATTTTAGATTGGGATTTTTCCATTAAAAAAACACATTCATTTTGACCATTCTTGAAGTACATGACTTAGGACACCTCCTTTTCGTATTCATGACTTTTCCATTTTTTTATAAAATAAGACACCTTCATTTTGGATACCTTCGTAGTATTTAAGAAAAAAAAACATCTCCATGGCATCCAAAAAAGCCAGGGCTTTTTCAGCAAGGCACATGTCGCCCAAGGCCTTCAAGGCCTCTTCCGAGAAGCAGTTCCATCCGAGGCCCAAGACCTCACTCGTCTTGGCATGTCAGCAATACTGGGTGGTTTAAGCCCTCAAAATATTGGGATAAAGACAAAATATGGCCATCTATATTATATATATATGATATATATGATATATATGATATATATGATATATATGATATATATATATATGTACCATGTATAAATGTAATTGCAAAAAAAAAATCCCGCCAAGTGGGATATCACATTTTAATCACCAACGAAAAAAAAAAAAGCCATCTAATTGGGATCATCATGGAGAATGGGATATGATGAATATTGGGATACTTGAACCACAATATTAAAATTATCAATATAAATATTATGAATATATTATGAATATCATATATAATATTGGAAAATGATTATATTTTTTTGAGATATATATGAATATTGTCAATATGTCTTGTACCGGTTTTGAAAATTGAAGCTACCCAATATTGGGAAACATACCGAAAATGATGCAAGCATGATGTGAGATGTGAAAAGGCAAAAAATGTTTTTCAACTCTAAGGCACCTCCAAGGCCGGCGCATTCAGCAAATCCTGTAGGCAATCCTTGGGTTTTTCGGGCGCTTTTTGGTGAGATTTTTAAAGGGGGCTTTCTGAAGTCATTGGCTTGGAGTCCCTACCAGGTAGTGTTACACCATGATAGTTTCAATACCATTCTATTGGATTATTACAATAGATTTACCATTCTATTGGTAGTTTCAAGACCATTCTATTGGGATGCCCCTATTGGATTAATTATTTGAATCCCCAATTTATAAAGGGTAGAATTTGATCCCCGAACTCATCAACCCAGGGGTCAACTGAACACTGCTCAATTTAGCAGTCTCAGAATGGTTGGGATGGCTGGGATGGTGGCGACATGAATGGAACCTGAATACGAATGGTCAACTGGAACAATGTGATAATTATGAACAGATATGAACAGTTGGTATTCACATTAGGCTGGCTATTCATTGTATTCACACCTTGAATCTTAGAAGTGCGAAACAAAGAACTTCAATTGACCTTGCTCCAGCACGGATTCATTTAGAGGTCAAAGTGAACTCTCAAATTCGCAATTTTAGGTAAGTTACCAACCCACTATCGATTCTAGTTACTGTATGTTTTTTGGGCATTAGGGTACCTTTTTCTTGACCCACAACCTCAGGTAGTCCAAATAATATGGCAATGAGTTTTTCTTCATCCATGTCAACGATATTTTGATGCCTCTGTCCTTTTCAAAGGTGGATTTCTTCATGGAAAGATCGCTCATGTCCTTTCCATTGCCCAACAAAAATATCATTGCGTTACCATATTATATGTATATACACATATTACATATAGATATATATATATACACATACTACATAAATACATACATATTATACATACATATATATAGATATATATATATATACGTGTATATACATATATATGTGTGTATATGCCCATCATACCCCGCTATCTCATACTATATCCACATATTATCTATCCAGATATCTCCACGTTGGGAGGAGGCGTCCGCTGCATTGGGATGCACCCCCAAGTTCGTGTCCTGCAAATGCAAACCTCGGTGGGGATAGATGGATGGATAGATAGCTAGACACAAAAAAAATGGATGGATGGATAGATCATAAGAAATCCTATGGCGATGATAATGTAGAGAATATAATATGCATGTATTTACCCTAGCACATTACGAAAATATAATACATATCAAGGAGATTCAAGAAGTATATATCTAGGATTCTCTAGGAACAATTGCTGTTGTAATATGTTGTAATCAAAAGATTGTAACAACAAAAGGAAAACAGTGTCTGTCAAACACCCTAGCGATCTCTATCGGGCTCATCAAATCACGTAGCAAGGTTGTCATATATTGAATATCATAATCACGCATATGAGTTTGTCTAAAAATGAGGTACCCACCCTTCCAATGGCCAATTGGGGGTATCCCCTACTTTCACAGGAGGCACCAACGAGCAAAAACACACCATCTCGTGAAAGCATCTTTGACGACTAGAAATCTTATAAAAATGAATTAGAATTCCACTGTTTTGTGGTCCTACGGAGTCTTACTACCCAACTGACACACGGTCTTACCCAACGGCCAACATCAAATTCCTTCAAGAAACCTTGACTGATATAGTATAGGATCTCCTCATTTTGGGGGTCCGTTAATATTGATATATATATATATATTGATAGTCTGCTGAAGGTACTCTTGAAATTACACTCATTTTCAGACACCCCAAGTTTCAGAAATCATTACAGTCCGCACGAAGATCATCATTTTTGATGGGTAAATCCACCACCAAAATCCTGGTCATCCTACACCCAGCAGCAGCGAATGGCCGGATGCACGTGCACGGAATGGCACAGGGCCGACATCGTGGCACTGCTGATGCGGATGCCGCTGATGTCAAGGTGCCGCAGCTTGTAGAGCCCGTTGGATTCCTAGGCTGCGAGGATCCCCCCTGCCATCCGACAGTGGGTCATCCTAACTATTTGATTAAAGCCAGTTATGGAATATATCCCCAACAATATATGGGTGATACAGTGATATATCAGTTATATAGATTAAATGTGATGAGATGAGATTAGAGAAGATTAGATTAGATTAAAAGAGATAGGATTAGATCACGTATATAGATTGGATTAGACTAGACTGGACTTAGATTAATTACACTAGATTTGATCAGATCTGATCAGATTAGATTAGATAGATAGTTAGATGTGCTTGTGTTTGAAAATGGTGTAACCCAAAAGAATGATGGTTTGCCATCATATGTCGCACTTGAAATTGCTATTTTATTATTGATTGTATCATGCTACGTTCGACAATTTCCGACCCGCTTCCTATTTTGTAACTGTACATATGTATTTTACATATTTAATTATATATATATATGTTAAGTTATATATATATGGTTAGATATTAACAATATATTAAATATACTTATACCATTTTATAGCATTGCACCATATTACACCACCATGATATCTCTGTTCAGTTGGGTCCAATTCCCATGACCCAAGGGGGTCTAAGGCTCCACCAGCAAGCCGACCAAGGTGTTGATTGCTTTGGGCCCTGCTCCACGACAACGCGCCAAGTCCAGCTTTTCCAAGGAATTCATTGCCTCAACGGAACGGAAGTCTCATGAAAGCAGGTGAAAGCAGGTGTAATGGCACCATATTGATCCATGCTGCACCACTACCAGGAATTCTCAGATATGTTTCTTAGCTCAAAACACTCCCAGGAGAAACTGCACCTTGAACAGCGCATGTTTGCAAAGCCAAACCAATGACTTGTGGTATGCCTCGTTTCACCCTGACCCCTAAGCACGTCCAAGCACAGAAGCGATTTTGGAGGACTGATTCGGCGCAGTGTTTTGAGACTTAGTCATCAATGATAAACCGAAAGCTTGGCGCAAGCCCTGAAACATCCTGAAACACTCCGGATGAGACTGTGGATGGTTGCGAAATCCAGAAATCCTGCACCACCTTGGATTCCTTGGATAGTTGAAAGATGTTGAAAGTACAATTGAAACCCTATAAATCATGGGATAATCATGGGATAAACCGCGGTATATGGTTGAAACATGTTAAAACATGTTGAAACCCTCTAAAGCCTATGGGCTTTTTTCCACATCCGGTTTCAGGAGCCCAGGTGCCGGCCGACCGAAGAGTTGCTGAAGGAAGTTGTCCAAAACCTCAACCAGAGGAATCAACAGGGAATCATAGGGATGTATATGGCGAATAGGGATTTTATAGTATATTTATATATATATATATATGTATATTATATATATATGTATATTATATATATATGTATATATTATATATATAATTGGATTTAAGCCCTGCCTTGCTATCTTTCCCCACTTTCGTTGGTTACGGCATGGACATCAGGGATAAAATAGGGATATAATGGGAGTTAAGCATCAACAATAGGGATTTTTAGCCTGAATTAGTAGGGATGTAATGGGATATGACATAAGCATACATAAGCAACCATAACTAGTTGGGTCTGTCCGAAAATGTGGTATACCACCCATGTTTGGTAATTTTGAGGGGATGATTTAGCAATCCTAGAGATACCGTATTTTGAGACACACCAATCCACCAAAAGTTACCCAGTGGCGTACCGGAAAAAAAAAAACAGCTATCCCAGCGAGTCCCCAGTCACAGGCGTCATGAGGCTGTCACGACATGTTTTCACTGCTGATTTGTCTGGATCTGCAACAACCACAACCCTCTGGTAATTTAACATAGCTATTGAACATGGCCATTTATAGTGAGTTTTCCCATTAAAAATGGTGATTTTCCATAGTTATGTACACGTTTACCAGAGGGAACCACCAATTTCAACGGCAAATGTCAACGGCAAATGGCTACAACGGATCCACCGGATCCAACGGTCACGCATTGCCACACTTTTCATCTATATATTCAAATTGAGAAACACAACAAGAAGTGATGTATATATATATATATGGGTTTGTCTGAAAATGGGGGTACCCCGAAATCCTACAGTCAATATTACTTAATCATCATTGCCCCTATAAAACTGACTATTTTTGGCGCAAAAAACAAATCAGACACACCCACATGGAGATTTCCTAAAATGGGAAATCTACCCGCAAATCATCCAGTCATGAGCCAATTTTCGTAGTGAAACCTATGTTTCTTTGGGGATCCCCCATGACTTAAGAAGCTCCCAAGCCGTCCCAAGTGCTGGTCAGGTGACTGCATCACTCAGCTTGGTACTACCTGCAAGGCACACCTGCGCAGGACGGTAGACGGTGGGATGGTTGAAACTCTGGCGCTGGAATTTTTTTCTTTTTTTTTCACACGGACCAATCAAAACATATCAAAACCAGTGTTTAGTTCTTTCCGATCAAGTCTGCAAAAGACAACCTGAAGTTGCCTGAAGTAGAAACCCACTGGTTGCATTGTTTTGCCATCATAGCGATTTTGTCTGCCATCATTTATTTTCCAAGTATCGGATTAGGGAGCGAAACATGGTCACGTAGTAGGTAGTAATAGGGCATGTTTTGAGTGCATACAATCCATTTACTGGCCATTTACTATTATTTACTAAGGCATCCAGGGACCCTGGAAGCAATTCGACCTTTGCCTGGGATCCAGTTGGGAAATGGTTTCACCCCAAACTTGGTTTCTAGATCTGAGTTTGTCTGAGAAGAGGGTACTCCGTGCCATCGACTGATTTTTTTGCATCATGTTTCATCTATACTAAATGGCAATAATTTGGGGTATACACCCCATGTTCAAATTCAAACACGCCCAAATACTTATGGTTCCTTACATATCCCATTGCATCCCTTTCCTAAGTTCTGCCAAAAAACCTCAAATCCAGTTGTAAACCCCATGGGTTTTGATATGTTTTGATCTAAAGTCAGCTACTTCAGAGACCAATCCATCAGCGAATTTCGACTCCCTGACGCCTCGCAAATGCTGCTCAGATGACCTGGCTGCCGATGGCTGGTAGCCATCGATGAGTGGCTACAGTAAAACACCAACTGATCGCATTGAAAAGTTAAGAAGTAGGTTTTTTTTTGCGTTCTACTATATATCTATTAACCCAGCTTTGCAACCCAACAGCATACCTGAATCTTCCACCTACGTCTTTTTTCAGACCCTGTGCCAAAGTCCTGTTTTTTCAGTACCCAGAAAACTTTTCAGGACCTACTCTCAAATTCAGGACCTGGCCATTTTGGGGTATCAATGGTAATGGCAATCATTGGGTGCAAACATGTGAAACCAACATTTGGTGGATATTCAAGCCATTGGCATTGATCCACGCAAATAAAAGCACTCCCAGCCCAAACTCATGGCAAGGCAGGATCAGAATATAGTATATTCCAGAAAGTATGTCAGAATAGATGCCAGATAGGATGCCAGAAAGAATGTCAAATAGAATCTCAGAAAAGAATGTAAGATAGTATGTCAGAACATATATGCCACATATACGTCCAGATGATATGTCAGAAACTATGTCAGAATAGTGTGTCAGGGTGGGGATCACTCTTAGTAAGGCAATTTTGAAAATATATTTCAGGTTCGGAATTTTCAAACTGTTGTCCTTCAGGCGCCGAAGCTCCCGTTGAAGGTCAGCATCGCCCCATGTCAACTGGTCCAGTCCCACTTCCATTTCAACAAGTCCAACTTCATCGATTAGGGTGTTGGTTGAATGGACTTGGGACTCTAGCTGGCACGGCATCCCTTGTAACCCTGTAGACACTGTAGTGGGCAAAAAGATTGTAACACACAGAATCAGCATCATTTTGATCAGGCATTCTTTTTGCTAATCCTTTCTCCCTATTACGAAAAATACCCCCAAATGACAAAAACTAGGTGCGATTTCCAATTTTGGGAAATGTCAAATTGGTTAATCTGATTTTTAATTGATCCCCTTGAGGAAACAATTTTAAAAATGAAGGTACCATGTGAGGGTTTCACCCCCAAAGAATAAAAAACTAGTCAACACCGGGGTGTCTTTTATTGGGGTCCGTCCTTTAAAATCGTCAATTTTAGTTTTTTTAATTCAGGTGTTGGTGTTTTATTTGATACTAGGCGAAAGCTTCGAAATCCTATTCTTGGCAGTATTCTATTTAAAGATTATTTTCATGGATTTTGAAATTAGAAACAAAAAAACGGTTTAATCCCTTCCCCCTGTTGCTAAACAGTCGCCCCTTCACCCACCCACCCAAATAACAAACACCTGGAGGAGTTTTTAGTATTGGGGGGGTCTTTAGTATTAGGGTACGAAGCTTCCCCCTAATACTGATAAAAAAACACACACACATATATATATATACATATTTCTATTTCAAAATCGATCAGATTTCTTTCTTTTTAAATCCAATTAAAATATGGCAAACAAGTGGATTCCGAAGCTTAATATCAAATAAAAACCCCCAACATAAAAAACTATGTATGTTTTTCTATTTCGAAATCGATTAGATTTCCTTTTAAAAATTAAATAAAATATGGCCAAAAAATTGGATGTCGAAGCTTTTCCCTTATATTAAACCCTAATATCATTTTGTTTTTTTTCCTGTTTCAAAATCGATTAGATTTCCTTTTGAAATCTAATGAAAAAAACAAAAAATTGATTTTGAAGCTTTCCCCTAATATCAAATTAAAATCCAATTATTAAAATATGTTCAAAAATTGGATTTCGATGCTTCCCCTAATCTTGCATGAAAAATTCCAATATAAAAAACTAAATTTGTTCTATTTCAGAATCGATTAGATTTCCTTGTAAATTCAAATTAAGATATTGCCAGAAATTGGATTTCGAAGCTTTCCCCTCATATTAAACCCTCATATCAAAGACTATTTTTTCTATATCAAAATTCATTAGATTTCCTTTTGAAATCTAATTAGAATATGGTCAAAAATTGGATTTTGAAGTTTTCCCCTAATATTACATTAAAAAACCCTAATATAAAATATTATTTTTTCTTTTTTGAAATCGATTCGATTTCCTTTTAAATTGTAGTAACAAAAATAAAAACAAAAACCGGATTTCGAAATGTTTCCTCTAATATTAAATTACCAGCCCTAATATATTTTAAAAAAAACTGTTTCAAAATCGATTAGTTTTCTGTTTAACATATAATTAAGATATTGCTAAAAATTGGATTTCGAAGTTTTCCCCTAAGATTAAATTAAAAACACTAATAAAAAAAACTATGTTTTTTCGATTTCAAGAATCGATTAGATTTCCTTTTGACATCCAGCAAAAATATTGCCAGGAAATGCCAAAAAGTGGATTTCGAAGTTTTCCCCCAATATTATATAAACGTTGTAATATAAAATACTTATTTTTTCGACCTTAAAAGACCCTAGTTTAAAAAATCACCGGGGCTGACTAGTTTTTATTTTTTGGTGGTGAAATCCTGAAATGGGACCTTCATGTTTAATTTGTTTTTGAAAAGGTATCAATTAAAAGTCAAACTGGCCAGCCTGAAATTTCCCAAAATTTAACGCGGACCCTAGTAAAAGGAATCAATGTAATATTTTAGTATTTAGGGTACGTTTAGTAAAAGGAGGTGGGGATTAGTAAGGTTTTCAATTTAATATAAGGGGAAGCTTCGAAATCCAATTTGGCAAGATTTGAGTTAGATTTTGAATAGGAATTCAATCGGTTTTGAAATATAAAGTTCATTTTTTAAAACGAATGTTTTCAATTTAATGTCAGGGGGAAGCTTCGGAATCCAATTTTGGCAATATTTTAGTTAGATGTTATTTAAAAAATGTTTTCCAATTTAGTTTTTTTTAACCAAGGGGGAAGTTTCGCACCCTCATACTAAATACCCACTAAATACAAAAAACTATTCCGTGTGTTCATTATTGGGTGGGGAGGGGCAGACGGTTTATTATGACGCAGGGATTGGTCAGGCATCACTTGCTGGAATTATTGGATTCTTTTGGGATGATTGGTATGATGTTTAGTCAGGCATGGTTCCCTTCAGTCATGCACGATTTTTGCAAAAATCCTATTTAGGCACGACCCCAAAATCCCAGCCCGGCAAATTCCGGCCCGGGCCCGGCAAATTCCGGCCCGCGCCCTGCAAATTCCGGCCCTGCGTTTTTCCAAAATCAGGCAAAACCAGTAAATCAGGTATTAAGTCAGGTGTAGTTACCTTTTAAGTCATTAAGGCTAGTCAGGCATGGTTCCAGTGGGTACCTTTTAATTGTGAAGGCTAGTCAGGCATGGTTCCCTGAATTCAGGGGCATGGGTACCTTTTAATTATGAAGGCTAGTCAGGCATGGGTTCTGTTAAGTCAGGCGTGGGTGGGTACCTCTTAATTATGAAGGCTAGTCAGGCATGGTTCCCTTAAGTCGGGTGTGGTTACGCTTTAAGTCATGAAGGCTAGTCAGGCATGGGTACCTTTTAAGTGATGAAATCTGAATCAGGCGGAGCTCCTATTCTAAATGTGTTAAATCCAATTGTTCAGTGTGGAAAATCGATTTTTTGGCTGGTCTACGGGCAAACCCTGTGTCTTCCAATACCATAGCGTGCTGATGTCGCTTGCCTGCATAATAGTTAAGGCCAAAGCTTAGGTCATCAGTGTGATCCTGAAATGGCGCCACGACCAAGAAGATGACATGTGTAAAATGGGCCCTGGATTAACAAAGGCTGACTAATGAATTTGGAGGATGCCACTAAAGTATGACATGTAATCACTTTTGAGGAGCACTCTATGGCACGCAGCGCGCGCAGCCTGCTTTACGGTTTAGCGTTTGAAAGTTTTAGGCTTTGCCTCTATGGCACGCAGCGTTTGAAAGTTTAACCGTTTACCTCTATGGCAGGCTGTGCGCGCAGTACGCGTTACGGTTTAAAGTTTGAAAGTTTTTGGGTTTATGTGTGTGGCACGCAGTGCGCGCAGCGCGCATTAGGGTTTAGGGTTTGGAAGTTTTATAGTTTATTTTATTGCATGCAGCGTGCACAGCGTGGGTTGAACTTTAGGGTTTCGAAGTTTTAGGGTTAACCTCCATGACACGATGGTTTAGGGTTTGGAGATTTGAAGGGGTACTTCTATGGCACACAGCGCGCGCAGCGCGCGCTAGGGTTTAGGGTTTAGGGTTTGGAAATTTTAGGGTTTACCTCTATGACACGAGAGTTTCAGGTTTGAAGATTTTAGGGTTTATTTCTATTGCACAAAGCGCGCGCAGCGCGCATTAGTGTTTAGGGTTTGAAGGTTTTAGGGTTTATCTCTGGCACGCAGCGCGCACAGCACGCATTAGGGTTTAGGGTTTGGAAGTTTTAGGGTTTATTTTAATGCATGCAGCGCGCACACCGCGGGTTAAACTTTAGGGTTTGGAAGTTGCATAACACGATGGTTTAGGGTTTGGAAATTTTAGGGTTTACTTCTCTGGGACACAGCGCGCGCACCGCGCATTGGGGTTTAGGGTTTGGAAGTTTTAGGGTTTACTTTATTGCATGCAGCGCGCGCAGCGCGCATAGAGTTTAGGGTTTGGAAGTTTTAGGGTTTCAAGGGTTCCAAGGTTCCAGGGTACCAGGGTCCCACGGTTTCAGGGCTCCAAGGTTTCCAGCGTTCCAAGGGTTCCAAGGGTTCCAGGGTTTCAGGGTTCCAGGATCCCAGCAGGGTGCCAGGTGTGCAGGGTTGCAGGGTTCCAAGGTTCCAGGGTTCCAAGGTAGCAGGGTTCCAGAATCCTTGAGGGTTCCAGGGTGCCAAGGTTCCAAGGTTTCAGGGTTCCACGGTCGCAGGGTTCCAAGGTTCCAGGGTTTCAGGGTTCCAGGGTTCCCGGGTTCCAGGGTTCCAGGGTTCCAGGGTTCCGGGGTTCCAAGGTTTCAGGGTTCCAGGGTTCCGGGGTTCCAAGGTTTCAGGGTTCCAGGGTTCCAGGGTTCCAGGGTACCAGGGTCCCACGGTTTCAGGGTTCCAAGGTTCCAAGGTTTCCAGGGCTCCAAGGGTTCCAAGGGTTCCAGGGTTTCAGGGTTCCAGGATCCCAGCAGGGTGCCAGGTGTGCAGGGTTGCAGGGTTCCAAGGTTCCAGGGTTCCAAGGTTGCAGGGTTCCAGAATCCTTGAGGGTTCCAGGGTGCCGGTTCCAAGGTTTCAGGGTTCCACGGTCGCAGGGTTCCAAGGTTCCAGGGTTTCAGGGTTCCAGAGGGTTCCGGGGTTCCAGGGTTCCAGGGTTCCGGGGTTCCAAGGTTTCAGGGTTCCAGGGTTCCAGGGTTCCAGGGTTCCGGGGTTCCAAGGTTTCAGGGTTCCAGGGTTCCAGGGTTCCAGGGTTCCAGGGTTCCATTCCGGATTTTGAAGGCTGCAAGTCCCCGCGAGCCAGCCCCAGCCCTAGAGATTGAAACCCAACAGGCCCTGCTGTTGGGAACTAGTGGTTTACTATGGTTTAAGTTCATGGTCTATTTACCCTCCAGTCATCAAACATGGGTGGCTGGAAAATCCACCATGAAGTTCAGGGATTTCCCAGCTAGCCATGTTTGAGAACCGGAGGGTACTAGCCAGTGTTGACACAATCTCTTGCAGCGTTTATCATGTTTATCTGGGACAAAGTTGGCAGGAAGCTACAAGCAGCTGGTACATTCAACAAAAAAAGTGGGCTTTCACGGCAAACAGGGTCGAACATGGAGCATTGATGGGCACCCCCCCACTTGACCACTTAAGGTGTGTTCAACCGACTTTACCAGGTACATCCAGGTACATCCAAGACACCAATCATCGAGGACATGGCCGTCAGCCTCAGATGTCAAATCCCCAGCGGTTTCTGGCTGTGTTCCCGGCCTGGTTCTATTTTCTTCGATGCTAAACTACGTAGTGGTGTAATATGATGGTATAATCATCCTGGTGATGTCATGTGTTCCCAAGATAGTTACCCTTCAAACCCACACAGAAAATGGACAATCCACTATGAATGTAGATCGTTTCCGAGTGGTTAAAACCACGGATTTGCAGAGCTTTTTGGATGTTTACCAGCAGGTAGCTGTGTTCATTACCCCAAACAGTTAAACCTTATCTTAGATAGGCCACGGAGCTAACTGTTCAATAGCTGGTTCAATCCTCGTGTAACTGGGTTGGAATGGGTTTTAACCCATTTATGCAACAGATTCAGCCAGTTAACATGGTGATTTCCCACATCGCTGTGTCAAAACAACTACAAATCATATCCCCTGTTTTTGCTTCTATCCGTTTAATTCCAATTATATCTCGATAATTTCATTGTGGGATTCACCCAATGCCATGTTTACCATCCCCATTCCATCACCATTTTTGTGGCTGCGATTTCAACCATTCAACCATCCCTGTATGGTAGCTGTTTATGGCATTGGGTCTCCCACATTGTATATTACTAACATACTATCTATTACTACTGTTAACTATGAACTCTTACTGATACTGATGATGTTTAACGCTAATATAGGCACTATACTCGATCCCCAGGATCACTATTACTACTAACTTCTATGACTATATTATCACCATATTATTTCCATATGATCACAATATTATCACTATTAAATATATATTAACTATGATCACGTTATATATAGTCTGTATGATCACTATATGATCCCTATATCATCACTATATGATCCTTATATGATCACTATATCATCACAACATTAGATATCGAACAACTATTATCACTATATTATGACCCAGGAACTCATCGTCCAGCAGGAATTCGCCACCGCTGGTGATGGCACACTTCCGCACCATCTCCAGCACCCCGGCTGTGGGGATAACCCCCCGCGCATTGCACACCTCGGCGGCAAAGTCTGAAGCCAAGTCTACATGAATCTAAATGATTTATGTAGACTCCGTACAGATATATATTAGCTTTATCTAAATGATTTATGTAGACTCCGTACAGATATATATTAGCTTTATCTAAATGATTTATGTAGACTCCGTACAGATATATATTAGCTTTATCTAAATGATTTATGTAGACTCCGTACAGATATATATATTAGCTTTATCTAAATGATTTATGTAGACTCCGTACAGATATATATATTAGCTTTATCTAAATGATTTATGTAGACTCCGTACAGATATATATATATATATTAGCTTTATCTAAATGATTTATGTAGACTCCGTACAGATATATATTAGCTTTATCTAAATGATTTATGTAGACTCCGTACAGATATATATTAGCTTTATCTAAATGATTTATGTAGACTCCGTACAGATATATATATTAGCTTTATCTAAATGATTTATGTAGACTCCGTACAGATATATATTAGCTTTATCTAAATGATTTATGTAGACTCCGTACAGATATATATATTAGCTTTATCTAAATGATTTATGTAGACTCCGTACAGATATATATTAGCTTTATCTAAATGATTTATGTAGACTCCGTACAGATATATATTAGCTTTATCTAAATGATTTATGTAGACTCCGTACAGATATATATTAGCTTTATCTAAATGATTTATGTAGACTCCGTACAGATATATATTAGCTTTATCTATAAGATTTATGTATACTCCATACAAATGTGTTTGCTTTATCTATAAGATTTATGTATACTCCATACAAATGTGTTTGCTTTATCTATAAGATTTATGTATATTCCATACAAATATGTTTGCTTTATCTAAATGATTTATGTATATTCCATACAAATGTGTTTGCTTTATCTATAAGATTTATGTATATCCATACAAATATGTTTGCTTTATCTAAATGATTTATGTATATTCCATACAAATGTGTTTGCTTTATCTATAAGATTTATGTATACTCCATACAAATGTGTTTGCTTTATCTATAAGATTTATGTATACTCCATACAAATATGTTTGCTTTATCTATAAGATTTATGTATATTCCATACAAATATGTTTGCTTTATCTAAATGATTTATGTATATTCCATACAAATATGTTTGCTTTATCTATAAGATTTATGTATACTCCATACAAATGTGTTTGCTTTATCTATAAGATTTATGTATACTCCATACAAATGTGTTTGCTTTATCTATAAGATTTATGTATACTCCATACAAATATGTTTGCTTTATCTATAAGATTTATGTATATTCCATACAAATATGTTTGCTTTATCTAAATGATTTATGTATATTCCATACAAATATGTTTGCTTTATCTATAAGATTTATGTATATCCATACAAATATGTTTGCTTTATCTAAATGATTTATGTATATTCCATACAAATATGTTTGCTTTATCTATAAGATTTATGTATATCCATACAAATATGTTTGCTTTATCTAAATGATTTATGTATATTCCATACAAATGTGTTTGCTTTATCTATAAGATTTATGTATATCCATACAAATATGCTTGCTTTATCTAAATGATTTATGTATATTCCATACAAATATGTTTGCTTTATCTATAAGATTTATGTATACTCCATACAAATATGTTTGCTTTATCTATAAGATTTATGCATATCCATACAAATATGTTTGCTTTATCTAAATGATTTATGTATATTCCATACAAATATGTTTGCTTTATCTATAAGATTTATGTATACTCCATACAAATGTGTTTGCTTTATCTAAATGATTTATGTATACTCCATACAAATGTGTTTGCTTTATCTATAAGATTTATGTATACTCCATACAAATATGTTTGCTTTATCTAAATGATTTATGTATATTCCATACAAATATGTTTGCTTTATCTATAAGATTTATGTATACTCCATATAAATATGTTTGCTTTATCTATAAGATTTATGTATATCCATACAAATATGTTTGCTTTATCTAAATGATTTATGTATATTCCATACAAATATGTTTGCTTTATCTATAAGATTTATGTATACTCCATACAAATGTGTTTGCTTTATCTATAAGATTTATGTATACTCCATACAAATGTGTTTGCTTTATCTATAAGATTTATGTATACTCCATACAAATGTGGTTGCTTTATCTATAAGATTTATGTATACTCCATACAAATGTGGTTGCTTTATCTATAAGATTTATGTATACTCCATACAAATGTGTTTGCTTTATCTATAAGATTTATGTATACTCCATACAAATGTGTTTGCTTTATCTATAAGATTTATGTATATCCATACAAATATGTTTGCTTTATCTATAAGATTTATGTATATTCCATACAAATGTGTTTGCTTTATCTATAAGATTTATGTATACTCCATACAAATGTGTTTGCTTTATCTATAAGATTTATGTATACTCCATACAAATGTGTTTGCTTTATCTATAAGATTTATGTATATTCCATACAAATGTGTTTGCTTTATCTATAAGATTTATGTATACTCCATCAAGTGTTGCTTTATCTATAAGATTTATGTTATTCATACAATGTGTTTGCTTGTTTAATCATCTATAAGGAGTTTAGGTATAGATTCCAATACCATGTGTTTTGCTTTATCTATAAGATTTATGTATACTCCATACAAATGTGTTTGCTTTATCTATAAGATTTATGTATACTCCATACAAATGTGTTTGCTTTATCTATAAGATTTATGTATACTCCATACAAATGTGTTTGCTTTATCTATAAGATTTATGTATACTCCATACAAATGTGTTTGCTTTATCTATAAGATTTATGTATATTCCATACAAATGTGTTTGCTTTATCTATAAGATTTATGTATATTCCATACAAATGTGTTCGCTTTATCTATAAGATTTATGTATATTCCATACAAATGTGTTTGCTTTATCTATAAGATTTATGTATATTCCATACAAATGTGTTTGCTTTATCTATAAGATTTATGTATATTCCATACAAATGTGTTTGCTTTATCTATAAGATTTCAGATGTATACGCCATACAAATGTGGTTGCTTTATCTATAATAGGATTTCTGTATATTCATACAATGGTGTTTGCTTGTATCGATAGATTTATGTATACTCCATACAAAGGTTTTGCTTTAATATCTATAAGATTTATGTAACTCCATACAATGTGTTTGCTATCTATAAGTTTCTGTATACTCCATACAAATGTGGTTTCCTTTATCTATAATAATTTATGTTCTCATACAAATGGTTTTGCTTTAAATCGATAAGATTTATGTATCGCCATACAAATGTGTTGCTTTATTCTATCAGATTTATGTATATTCCATACAATGTGTTTGCTTTATCCCCTATAGATTTATGTTATATTCCATACCAATGTGTTTGCTTTATCTTAAGATTTATGTATTCCTACAAATGTGTTTGCTTTATCTATAAGATTTATGTATACTCCATACAAATGTGTTTGCTTTATCTATAAGATTTATGTATACTCCATACAAATGTGTTTGCTTTATCTATAAGATTTATGTATACTCCATACAAATGTGTTTCCTTTATCTATAAGATTTATGTATACTCCATACAAATGTGTTTGCTTTATCGATAAGATTTATGTATACTCCATACAAATGTGTTTGCTTTATCTATAAGATTTATGTATATTCCATACAAATGTGTTTGCTTTATCTATAAGATTTATGTATATTCCATACAAATGTGTTTGCTTTATCTATAAGATTTATGTATATTCCATACAAATGTGTTTGCTTTATCTATAAGATTTATGTATATTCCATACAAATGTGTTTGCTTTAACTATAAGATTTAAATGTATACTCCATACAAATGTGTTTTGCTTTTCTATAAGATTTTGTAATACTCCATACAACTGTGTTTGCTTTAATCTATAATATTTATGTATATCCATACAAATCTGTTGGCTTTATCTATAGATTTATGTATATTCCATACAAATGTGTTTGCTTATCTATAAGATTTATGTATAACTGTGGCATAGTCCATACAATGTGTTTTTGCTTTTTATCTATATATTTATGTAGTCACTCCACAAATGTGTTTGCTTTATCTATAAGATTGATGTATCTCATACAAATGTGTTTGCTTTATCTAGCTATAAGATTTATGTATATTCTACAATGTTTTGCTTTATCTATATGATTTATGTATACTCCATACAAATATGTTAGCTATATGTTAGCTTTATCTATATGATTTATGTATACTCCATACAAATATGTTAGCTATATGTTAGCTTTATCTATATGATTTATGTATACTCCATACAAATATGTTAGCTATATGTTAGCTTTATCTATATGATTTATGTATACTCCATACAAATATGTTAGCTATATGTTAGCTTTATCTATATGATTTATGTATACTCCATACAAATATGTTAGCTATATGTTAGCTTTATCTATATGATTCATGTATACTCCATACGAATATGTTAGCTATATGTTAGCTTTATCTATATGATTTATGTATATTCCATACAAATATGTTTGCTTTATCTATAAGATTTATGTATACTCCATACGAATTTGTTTGCTTTGTCTATAAGATTTATGTATATCCATACAAATATGTTTGCTTTATCTAAATGATTTATGTATATTCCATACAAATATGTTTGCTTTATCTATAAGATTTATGTATACTCCATACGAATATGTTTGCTTTGTCTATAAGATTTATGTATATCCATACAGATATATGTTAGCTTTATCTGATTTATGTATACTCCATACAGATATATGTTAGCTTTATCTATAAGATTTATGTATACTCCATACAGATATGTTAGCTTTGTCTAAATGATTTATGTATACTCCGTACCGATAAGTTAGCTTTATCTATATGATTTATGTATACTCCATACA